CGCAGCACTGATTGGCTCAGCAATGTAACGTGATCCTCTGCAGCAAGTGATGGGGAAGCGGGGCGTCATCACGACTTTTCATGTCATCACACTTTTTAGACAAGTGTGTCTTTACCTCCGCGGCAGAGGCTCCGCCGAACCCCTGAAACCGACTCATCGAACCCCTGGGGTTCGATCGAACCCAGGTTAAGAACCACTGCACTAGATGCCAACTAGTTGTTTGGGGAGCTTGGCAGAACTAAACATCTCTTCTGTGCTATAGTCACAAACATTAGGTGACTAGTGGAGCACTAGAAGAGCAACTGTGACACTATGGTCTTGTTTTTTCTTTTAAAACACCCTGAATAACATTTTGAGTTGAATGGCATAAGGAATTATTTTTTAAACACTATTAAGGTCTTAAGTACGATATTTTTCGGACTATAAGCCGCTCCCCCCCCCCTCCCCCCCCAATCTTTGAACAATGTGGCTTATATCCCGGTGCAGCTTTTCTGCGGATTTTTCTTCAACCACCAGGGGGCTCTTTACCAGAAAGTGAATCATTGGAAGTCAAAGCAGCAGAAATTTCTTCAAACTCATACCCCCTCATCATGGAAAAAGATGCCGCTTTTAAGTTGAGGACTATCGATCTGGCAGTACAGGAGGGAAATAGAGGCGCTGCACGTAAACTCGGCGTGAACGAGTCCATGGTTCAGCGTTGGATACACAGGGCTGTGTAAATCTGCTAGATTTATTAAGGACACAGCCCTCTGCTGCGTCTTTGTGGAAAACCGAGAGCGGCGGAGAAACTAGCAGCTTATACATGTACGTTTCTGGGTTTTTCAAAAATGTTTTTATTATTTTAATTGTAGGTGCGGCTTATAGTGAGGTGCACTCTGTAGTCCGGAAAATACGGTAAGTAAGTATTCTTCTGGAAAGAAAAATACTGAAAGTACAGTGGTTCATCAGGATAATGATGCACAACATGAGAGAAATGATTCCTCAACACAAAAAAAGTCAACCTTCTTTCACGGCAGTCTGCAGTCCTAAGGAATGGTAAAGATCTGTCTCTGTACGGTCCCACTTTGTTAAATATTTAGAAAGTTTAAATGCTGTCTTTTTAGCAAACTGGTTTGACAAGGGACTAGTGATTTAATTCATAAACTCAGATTAAGGGTTGGAGTCTTCCAAAGTTTTAATGTCAAACTGAAGGCCTGTAGGTAAAATCCGGTTAAATCTAGAGGACCACAGAATTAGAAGTTCAAGATCACTTAAATATTATTTAAATCAGTTTTTATTTGCATGGTGCAAAATTTCTAAAGTGTGAAAGGATGACAATATTTATTTTTAAAAGTACTAATTGAATGCAAATAAATATTTTTGACAATTTGTTAATAGGTAATCAATACATTCTGCTTCCACCAGTCCTCTGAGGTCATTTATTATTCACTCATTTAAGGTTTTTTTACACATCTTCACATGCAGAGGTGCCAATAAATCCAGATAGCATAAACTGCAACCAAGTTTAGGGAGCACAGAACCAATTTAAAAATCCTGATGATGTTCTAAGGGTTAAAAAAGCAGTGAAATGGCCGTTTTCCATCACTTAAACACCAAAACATTCAATGAGTTAGAAAAACTTAACCGTGATGTTGACACAAAGATATAAATCACAATGAATTTTTTTTGTAGTTTTCTTCTTGGAGTAAAAGGTTAAGTTTCATACTGCAGACATTTTTCCATTCTTAGTTTGATCCTTTTCCACACCTGTCCACAATTTGAGAAGGATAATTGTAGTAAACTATTCTCCTCCACACTTTTCATTTCCAGGAACATAAATATAACTATGAATGCTACGTCCATTTCAGTCACTGCATTACCCAGCGGCCTCTTCTGTTAATTTGCTATCCTTTGATCGCTTCAAAAGATGGCGTCCGTTTTGTTTTTACAGTGAATGCTGCGGAGGCCAACACAGGGGCCCCTAGTGTGAAACGAGGAAATTAGTCTGGAGGCTCGTCTGTTGCAGTCAAACAATTAAGACCACAGCAAAAAGCACACACAGGTTAATCAAAAGTCTGTATTTGGCCTATGATCTCAAATTTCCTGGTGATGTTTTTGTCCTCTCTTTCCCCGTTTCCCTGATGATGTTGCTTTTAGAGACACACAAAATCAATCAAAGATATAAGTCATGGTCAGCCGCTTTTTACTTGATTTTACTCAAATCCTGCAAAATATGATTAGTTTCTATATTATTAATTAAGTGCATTAAAATTTAACTTAAACTTTCATTAAGTTTAATGAAAATGAGATAAAGGCTAGGGACATTTCTACAAACACAGAGCATATTTTCCCCCCCTCTTTTATGTGCTGTAAGTGGCAGAAAAAAAATTATTGGCAGGTTCCGCCTAAACCCCCCCCCCACAAATTGGTAGAGGCTAGGAAAATCCTAATCTGAGCATCACTGGTTGCTGTCTATACATGCACAAAAATCAGCCAGTGTGTTTACACTGTTCCTTCATGATTGTAAAGTTTATTTCAGTAGTCCTTCATGGCAGTAAAAGACAACACTTATTAGGTTTGCAGTCCCAACATGCAGAACAATCATTGAACAAAAGAAGAGAACAGAATCAGACATTAAAAAGAAAGAGTTAAAAGGTGCATTTTGTCCAACTTTTGCAAAGTGATCAATACTCCAGGGAGATTCAGAGTAGTACAGTTAACACGTCGGAGAACAGTTGGTGTTATCCATTCATGCAGCCCACGACATTCACAGACGACAAAATTTTATGTTCTCTGCGGAAAAAAAAAAAAAGCGACAGACCAAGCCTTCCACGACGACGACATCCACATTCAGCTGCTTGGAAATTTCCGACAACCAATTAAGTTTTTTTTTTTTTTTATTCTATTAACGAGCAAAAAACAAGAAAAGTATCTGAAACTTAAAACACAAAAAGAAAACATTCCTGTAGAGCAGAGGTACATCGTATGAAGTAAAACAAGTTACAAACATATACACTCTTTAGAAATGATAAACTATATCATACCAGATATTAACAACTGGAAAGGTACATTGAGTGCATTGTGCAACACTTTGTGTCAAAGCGAGCTGAACACACACACACACACATACACGCACACAGTCATCCTGCACACACACACTCACTCCCCTGTACGGGCCATGCAGCAGCACACACAGATAAATTAGAACTATACCTGAAGTCGTGCAGACGGACAACTGGAGCGAGCATCAACACACACACCCACTCACGCGGACACACACATAGATAATAAAAGAGACGCACCAGGACTCCCAGTCACACACATGCAGTCCATACATACAGCACATGCACATGCAGGCTATGAAGTGACATACACACACAGTCAGAAATCTGATCTCCCATAGGGAGAAAAACAAGCAATCACACAGACACTGACCAGTCAAATATAAATAAAACAAGCCGGAACAATAATATTCATATTAATCATTACGAGACATTTAAGAAAGCTCAGTTTCCACGTCGAATCTATTCTATCTTGCCAAAAATGAAAAGCTATAGACAATTCATTACAAAGCCAATCAATGCAAAAGTCATAGATCTCCAATATAAAAATACAAATTCACAAAGAACTACAGAGAGAAAGTGGTTTTGATACCGTCGTGGAGTTTCCTGGCTAATATTTCTCTCCCTAAAGCTAATGGCACTTATGTTTGAAGGGATAAAATCTCCATTTTTAGGGAAAACACTACTGCTACTGTGAGCTTGCCTTCAGCTCAACTCTGCAGGAGCAGATCTGTAGTTTTAAACACTGCAGGAGTGCAATACTGTGGAGTTCAGACAGTGCTGTTGTCTTCAGGTGTGTGTGAGAGAGAGAGAGAAAGGGAGAGAGCTTCCAAGTAGCACTAAATTATTCTTGGCAATCTTTTTCTTCTAAGAGGGAAAAGTTTCAGGTAGGCACCGCTGTGATTTTTGAGAGAGGAGTGATGTGTGGAATGCGATTCTAGGTTGAGAGCCGAGCGCCGGCTGTTAAAAACAAAAAGAAACGGGGCTACTGTCAGCTCTAAAGGAAAAATAAAAAGCTACAAAAAGGATTAACCAGGCACGGCATCTACATGTTTAAAAGCTGCAACTAAAAACCTAAATTAACGCGAGTTAAAAGAACAAACAGGGACGAAGGCATGAGCAGATGTAAGGCGTCACACAAGAGATGCTCGCGCAAGTGCAAAAACAAACCAAAACGTTACAAACATTTGCTCTGAAGTGGTCTGGAGAACATTTACCTGCATTTGGTAGAAAATTGTCCGAATTCACTAGTACTTGGACGATTGTATACACGACTGCTCTTTGGCAATCTTTCACAAGTTTGATTCCTCTGAACTAGCTCCCCTCCGGTGGCGTTTACCTCGGTACTAACAGTGTTTAGGAGTGGCTTAATAGAATGATTTTAGGCTTTGTGGCTCAGTGCTAAGAAGCTGTCATTCAACAGGAAGGAGAGGTTCGCTCGGACAAAACTGAGCGCGAACAGTGAAGAACTTCAGACCACAGAATGCCAAAAAACGCACAGTGCTCATCAATTCTGCTGGACACACAAACACAGTCGATAGTGAACATGGTTCGTTTCCGTCCTGGTGTTTTTTGTCGTCTTTTTTTTTTTTCCCTTTTTCTTTTTTTACGTCCATGATTTTCAAAGACTTTTCATTGTTCCTCAGTCCTTCCATTTGTTCGTAGCTTCCCTTGTGTGCTGGAAGTTTGCGCTCCCAGCAACGCTTTTCTGTCCATTAAAAAACCCCAGTGGAGACAGCAGCCATGGCCCCAGGCGGTCCGACCGGGAACAAGAAGGACGGCGGCGCACCTCTAGTTGCTTCTCTGTTTGGTGGTGTCGTACGCTCTGATGACCTCGGACTGAGACACCACTCCGTTCTCATCTTGAGAAAAGGCGTAGCCGTCTGAAAACAAAGCGACGCGGTTAAAGTTAACCCCAAACAGAACGTAAAACATCGAGGAGATGGAATAAAACTCCAAAGTAAATATCTGGGAATTACTGGAGCTGCCGCGATATTGTGACATTGCTGTTGAATATTTCGACAACACTCATTGTGAGGTTTAGCATCTTGATCACCAAGTTGAAACCACATTTCCTATTCAATTTAAAAAAAAACCTAAACCTCTTCTTCCCTCTCTCACTATAGCACTTTAAATCAGACTAAGCCTTTGCCCTTTTAGGCCACTTAGCCTTTCCAAAATTATTATTCTTTACTAAACACCAGCTTCTTTTCATGCAGTTTAAACTAATGACTTGAGTTTGATGAAATTGAAACACTATCGACCCTCAGTAGTTTGCTGGAGTTTTGGTCCATTTCTCCTGACAGATGAGTCTGAATGGTAGTACTCCATGTTTTAGCTCTGCACACACATTCTCCACAAAACATTTAAGATGGCTGCTCCAAAAACAACATTTCTGCCTTTAAGCTACTCTGTAACGAACTTGGGGTAATTCCTCATTTAGAAATTCCCCCTGTGCTCAAGTTTAAAGCTCTTAGTTGATGTCTTGAGCTGTTGCTTTCATATTACCATATAATGTTATCTTATCTCATGATGAAATCTATTTTCAAGAGCACTAGCCCTCCTTGCAGCCAAATACCCATAGGACATTCTGCTGCCACCACCATACTTCAAGTGTTTGGTTCTCTCAGAGTTGCAAGCTTCTCCATTTTTCCTGCAAATTTAGCAACGGCCATCATGGCCGAACACTTCAGTTTCAGTTCCATCAAACCACTGGATGTGTTTGCTGAAAGCAAGAGCTTTATTAAAGATTGCAATCTGTATTTTCTGTTGATTTTGGGGTGATGGATTCTTCATCTCTGAGCAATTATCCACAGGACTAGTTTTGCCTTCACCAACTTCAGCCAGCATCTTCACAAGGCCTTCTACTCTCATCACTGAGCTGAATATCAGATTTCACACCAAAACCACGTTCCGTATTATTGATGAATGTGGAACCTTCAGGAATCTGGAAAGTGTTAAGGTCCACAAACCTCTTCTGATGATTGCGATACATGTTGTGCAGCTCCAGCAAATATGACTATAACAGGTCCAAAAGGATCCATTTTTGAATTAAAAACTGAAATAAAATAACATTTCAATGATTTTCTAGATTAGCGAGTACCAGCACGTTTTCATTGTTTGTTTGTTTTTTTTAGCTTAATGATGCTGATGATGACCTAAAGGAGATTTTTAAAATACAGTAGAGTTAGTTATTTTTTTTCTAACTCTTAATGCAATTCTATAACCAGAGGAGAAACAAACATTTCTGGCAGTGACAAATGCTCAGTTTTCTTTTTCTTATCAGGAGTACAGCACTAATGCTAGATGAAAGTCGTAGTGGTTTTCTTAACATATAAATAAAGAAATATTTCAAACATACATTTCTGTTAAATGAAATGATGAGTCTGAAAAACATCCCCCCTCCCCCCTTCTCTACAGGTACATCTGTAGTGTGAAGATGCACTATAATCTACACCTTCACTCTCCTAACAGGGTCTCACTTGACCTTTGGCCCCTGACTCACCTTCAGGTGTCAAATGACTCGCTCAGTGCCCGGCGGCCAGCAGGCCAGTTCAAAGGAGCCCGCTGAGTCGAGTGCAATGTGAGGGAATAACAGCGCAACATTTCATCATTATCTGGCTCTTACTGAGCTTATCTTAGGACACACTGAGGCACACGGCAAGGAAGGAGCGAGAAATAAAGCTACAAGGAGAGACAGAGGCGTCTATGTGGGAGCTACGGGGGGCTGAGACTTAAATGGGGATGAGGTGTGAATAATGAATCAAAAAGGAATCACACAACAACGATTTCATCCCCACCTAAAGGACAAACAAAAAACAAGCCGATCAGACAAAAGACACAACAGAACAAAGAAACACACAAAACAGAAAATAAAACCCCTGCCTGAGAAGATATAGGATAGTTAAGACGGCTAAGCCTGAACTTTTAAATATTAAACATAGGAGTTCTTCATTCCGATTGATTTCAGGCTGAACTGGGATCAGATTTCTGCCTGGTTTGAGAGAAGAAATGTTTCAACATGTAATAATCTGAGATTATTATTAAAAACAAACAAAAAAAAAAGGAACATTGGCTTTTCTTTTGGCAAACTTATTAAGCTTGAGGGGAATTGAACACAGTTTGAGCTGATTACTGAATATATCAGCAGTTAGCAGTGTGACAAGGCAGGGCTGAGAAAACCTTGTAAGATAATACACAGCATTAATGATGCTGCCTCAAGTCGCCAGCGTGAATATATGTATCAATAATTTAGCTCTTCTGATGGATTCTTTTCACACAAACCAAACAAAGAATATTAAAACTATTCATCAGGTAGAATCAGTCCAGAAATTACAAGTCTAGCAAGGTTTCCACTTTGTTTTTGGAAGTTAATGTGATGACTGGACACTGCAGATTACTTTGGAGATAGAAAGGCTGCATAAACGATAAAGGATAATGATAAATAATTCGAGATTAAAATTTCCTGGTGACCATTAACCGCTGAAAGCCCCCCCAAATATTTCCTTTATTTTCCAATCAGGAGACATCATGCAGATTTTTACTGAGCGAATAAAACTCAAACGTTATAGCTGTTGCTTAGTTTTGGTGAAATATTTCAAAGTTTCACAATTATCAAATTAAATTAGTTCTTTTTTATCCTTTGGAAGAGTCCAATCTCTGTGTCACAGATCACAGGTGTAAAAAATGTTGGCAGGCTCGGCGAGGCTGATTTTTACAGTTAGCAATGCTGACTGTTTACAGTTTGAATGAATTTTGTAAAATAAAATTAATAACTTGTATTGAAGCAAACATCTACATTATTAGTTGTGCACAAAATAAGTTAGTGAGCTTTAATTTGTCTTACAGAAGACCAAAGGACATACCCTGATAACCTGGAGGATTTAACGAAATTTTAGGCCTTTTTACTACAAACTAGTTGCAGATAAAATGAATTAATGGATGCCTGATCTGTACATAGCTGCTTCAAGAATATATCTGCCTTAAACAAGTAAATTAAAAGGAAAACATGATGAGAAAAAATTTATAAAATAAAAAGTTGGTAAATGGTGACAAACTGTGATCCAGAGGTTTCTAGCAGTTATTTTCCACTCCATGCTTCTCATTGGAATTTTAATATCCATTTAAAATGCATGGGGCTATGTTGTCTATTTTTCCCAAACAATTATGGACACTACCTGAACAAAAAGCTTAAAGAAACCAGAGAGAGAAGAAGGACGTGTGAGCAACTTACGGAGCAGGTTCTGCTGCATGGACTCGGAGCGGTACAGACTGACCGTGCTCTTCTTGAAGACGTTCTTCAGGAGCTGGGCCCTCTCCGTCAAACTGCACACACAGAAACATTGAGAGTGTTGGCAGCCTGCAGAGCATCCCGGCCAGACTTAATGACCCATACATCAACCTCCAGAGCGCCTCGACCTGCCAGCCGCTCTACCTGCTGGTTCAAACATCGAGCGCGGAGACTAAACTGCGGAGAGGCTAGAGGAAGGGCCAAACGAGAGCGTGGGGAAGGATGGGAAGCAGCGGGGCGGCCAGGAGGAATTCATGTACACGTGTGTGACAGGACATATCTGCGTGTGCGTGCATGTGTGTCTGGAGAGAGTCATTCACGTGTTTGTATGTGTATTTGTTTCGTGTGTGTGTGTGTGCTCCTGCTGGCTCTTGGACAGCAGCCAGTCAGGAGGATCACTTTCAGCCTGCAGGAGATCTCACACTGATGTGCTGCATGTTGATGTGTGCAGCAGACCTCAGACCCCAAACAGCACAGGAGACCTGCCTCGGCTAAAACACTACAGCACTGTATGGCTTTAATTAGCCGAAGAGCTCTTGCTCTAAAATGTGACGTTCCGTATTTTTATGGGAAAGAAAGAAAAAGAAATGGGAGAAAACCACCATTATGGCATGATTACTGATATTACAGTCAGACTCCTGCAATTTAGCAGCAATTTTGAGATTTCTTTCCTCCAACACAGGACTGGTTGCTGGCAGAGTAGCTGTGAGTGTTCGTGACATTTTCGTGACAAAAAGATGATTCTTCCTCCTAATTGATGTTGGAAAAAATGATTCATATTTTGTCCAAAAAGGCGAGAACAGCAGCTAAACTTTCAATCGTTTGGTCGTGAAAAGGTCAGGAGAGAAATTCAACAAACGACGAGAAAAAACTTCTTTAGATGTAGCTTTTTATGAGTAAAGATTTGAGTACTTTAAAATGTTCATATCCATTTCTTTTTAAGATATTTTAGGCTAAACAAGGTAGGATTACTTTTTTGCCCAAATATTGTTTATTTTTTAACATGTTCAGTAATCTTCTGCAGATATGCCCTGTGATGTCACTAAAACCTCGCAGTGAACGCACAGGAATAGTGGACTGGTGTAGCTGTACCTCTTTCCTTGCACTACTGCTCCAGGGTCCTTAGATAAAGCCTCCAGCTCCTGCACCTCGTCCACCAGGGTCTTGAAGCACGCTTTCTTCACACTGTAAATCAAACATGCAGCAAACATCGTGTTGAGCATAGTTTACCACGACGACGTGTTTGGAGACTGATGGTATGAAATGCAGAAAATGAAAATGAAGCTTTTAAGTCGGAAAATTGCTCCAGACGCAGTAAGTCTGCTGATGGATGATGTCGACCCGACATCTCCTGCTGAGAATTCACAAAACGGAAACACCAGTTTGTTGAAAAAGCGAGAGCAGGAATTTCTGCTGGCGATAGGAGAGATACTGGAGGAATTTCCTGAACAGCGAGCGTGTGAGAGAGAGAGAGAGCGGGGAGAAAACTCACACTTTGTAGGTTACGTCAAAGATCAGCGAAGTGACCGGGATGAAGAACAGGCCCATCCAGAAGACCCCTGAGCTGAACATCATTCTCGCCTGCAGGGAACAAACGCACACATTTAATCTCAGGTCACTGCGGACAATGCAGAGTTCAACAGCTGGGAGATGTTAAAGAGGAGAAACACCTGAAAAACCGGAACAACAATCCCTATCCTCCTGCAGTATCACACAACAAACAGCCCAAAACAAACTGGTTTTGTGCTGAAATGGAGAACATAGGTTCAGATAACTTGCTCAAGGCGGGTTAATCAACCATGACTGAAGGATCCCATTGTTTTGTTTTCATTTGGAGCCCCTTCACCTCTGTGCCCCTGTGGGAGGAGGAAGTACCTGTGGCGTATTAAGATAGTTTAATCTTTTTCTAAGAAAAACAACTATGCAATCCGTTGTGTGGAGAGTTTCTGTCAAAGCAGCATAAATTCACTCATTTACTCAAAGATAACCCAGATTCTAATTGTTTATTTTCCATTTACAGGTGTAAATTTGCCTCTCCTGCCCCTCATCATAAAACATTCTAACAGTCATTTCTTAAATATTTTCTGGCATAAAGAATTATAGAGCCTTCTAAAGACATTTAAACCATTTATTTTTAGATTCGTCAGTTTGTCTCAAACTTTAATTCATGTTATTGGGATTTAAATGTAAAGCATAATTGTGAAGTGAAAGGAAAATACCTGTAGAATCAATGTCTATTGATATTTTTAAATTAATGGTTAAAAAATTAGATGTACAAACCTGGTTGGAGGCAAGGTTTGTACATCCTTGTACAGTTTAAGTCAGGACTTAAACTGTACAAGGATGTACAGTTTACACTCTTATTTGTTCTAAAATAATGAAAACCATGTGTCATTTTCCCTCCACTTCTCTACTTTGTGTTGGTTTAGCACATATAGTCCCAATGAAATACATCAACAAGTGTGGTTATAAAGTGAAAAAATACGGAAAAGGTCAGCAGGTAGAACTTTCGAAAAACGACATAATGGAATTTCCCACCCCTGTTTCCAGATCTAATCGCCTCTCTAAAAGCTCTCTAGGGTCGCCCACGTCTTTAGTAATAAAGTAGTTTATCATTTAATAACTCCAAGTAACATGTATTTACTTTATGACTTATTAGTTTTAGCTTCAGTGAGGCTGTGAACCGCTGTGGTGGGGGTACAAAACTTCAAGATTGTCCTGTTTTCTTTGGCCCACCGTACTGAAACTATCCGTCATTACACGTCTGAGTTACGACTCGTGTTCCTTGCATTGTAATATGCCACTTGTTTAAACCGCCGCAGCCCCTCGACAGTACCTCTCCTGAAACGTGACAGCGCGACCCGTGGGATGCACGCACACATGGATCAGTGTCAAACCTATCAAAGCACTCAGGTTAGCCTAAATTACCTAATCTGCTTGCCATTACCTGCAAACTGACTTTGATGTCTGACATAAAACCAAAGGAGAGGAAGCCCACCAAAATGGCAGGAAAAAAAAAAAAAAGGCTTTCTCCTACAGGGATGAATAAAGGGTTTTTCGGCGACACCCAGAGGCTAAAAACGTGAGAGAAAATTGCGTCGAAGCACAAGATTTTTTCCAAACTGTTTTGAAATTGTGCAGCCCCAATGGAGACATTTACCAATGCGCTTTTTATTACTATTTTTACGGCTTGAGTGAGTTTAATTATTTTAATTTTTATTAAGCTTATTAAACATTTTCAAGAGGGTGCTTAAACTTCCCTTTTCAAAATAAACCAGAGTGTATACTTGGCAAATCATAGCAAAGCAGAACGAAAAATAAATTATGTTGTTCACCAGTTCAATCTACGACCCGTATTTGTTTATGCAACCGTGCGACTCAGTTACAAATTATGTATACATAAGCTTTATACATAAGACATAAAGCTAATTATGTGACAAAGTCTAATTCATAAACATACACAACTCAGAAAGCTAAACTGCAAGTAAGGCAGTCGAGCTAATAGAGGGTATTTTTCATTTTGACGTCAGTTTCAAAATCCAAACAAATCGGAGCAGTTACAAACAACAAATGTTTGTCTGCAGGCATCTGGAAAGGCTCCATGGCTTTGAGCGGGTTCAGCAGTGCCGGTGGATGCAAGTATGTCTCATAGCACGGGGGCCCCTGGGTGCTGGAGGGGCAGGGGGCCCTTGGAGCTGAGCTGTATTTTTAGGACAAACTAATAAACTTGTCTGGCTGGACAGACAGTAGTGTCCTCTAGCAGGGAGGGGGGTGTTTTGACAACCTCCTCCATCCCCACCCTCTCATGGCTGTAGAAAGTCACAGACACACCGAGTTCAATTCAAAGCTCCCCCACACACACACCCACACACTGGACACATGTCGGAGGTTCACTGGCCAAAACAGAGAACCCCAACTGATGGACTGGATGCATAACATTAAAAAATTGAATCAGCGGCCAAAATAAGTCTGATTGGTGCAATGCAGTCTTTATAAGCTTAACACAAGTTTTTGATTGAAAAAAAAATAAAAATAAAACACAAAAATTCAGAATTAATCACTATTTAACATTACTTCCTTCAGTAGGTAATGAAAAGGTATATTCAACTAATCACAGCTATGTTTAGCTGGTTATCAATGTCTTCAAATTAAATTGTGAGCATTTGTGAACCTGGAGTAATCTGAAAATTGACTCTGCAGGTGTATTTAAGGACAAACTATAAGCAAACAAAGCAGGGATCTAATAAGCACGACCACCGATTTCGGTAAAACCGAAGCAGGCAGATTTAGAAAGCTGGGAGAGAGTGGACAAGCAAGGTCCATTTAAAATGTCATAGGACACTTAAAGAGACTTTAAGGTTTTAGGAAACATCTTGTGATCTGCTCACAGTGTGAATTTGCCTGAAAGGCAAAATGATAACAATACAAACTCTTCCTTACAGAAGAACGGCTGATTTCAAATTCCTTTGAGGCCTCCCTAAGTCTCTTCGCAAACCCATTAGCTCCTACCATCTTCTTTCTAGTCGCCTCAGGCATCTCTTTTCATCTCATCGTGGTGTGCACTATCACGTCAACAATCAGGAAACCACCAAACTAACTTTGAGGTTTAAACACGGCAGAGCTCTTTCAAAATGCTGAGTATTGATGTTCTAATTATGTGCACCTGATGGGGTATGCCTGTGGGTAATTTTAGCCGTTTTAGGTAGGAATGTTTTTCCTCATCTGAAATTGCTTTTGTCTTTTCGGTTTTACAAAAGCAGTCATAAACCCCCCGCCCACTCAATTTAAACACTCTGTGACTGAATACGTGGTGTATTTACTTCACCCAGATTGTTCCACTAACTTTGTGTTGTGGTGTTTATCAATCATTAGTCAGGGAAGAAAAAAAAAGTAAAACAAACATCTAAAAAGTCACATAATCAGGAGTATTGAGGGAGAAGATAAAACCTTTAAATACAGCATGAGGGGAAAGTCCGCCGGTGATGAAAGGATTTAAATAGGGCCATTTTAGTCTGAACAAATAAGAAAGAGATTTCTCAACGTCTAACATTACACACAAAAACATGCCACCAGTCTTTGAAAAGCCTTTGCAAACAGAGTCCGCGATTAATCAAACATGTCATCGCTCCTCGTCTGTCGGCTGGTTAGAAATTGTATTTGTGAAGAATTGCTCAGCCTGGTCCAAGAAAAATTGACAAAAAGGGGAAATTCATGGCATTTGCATTCACGACTCTCATACGTGACAGACAACTGCATTCATCACTGTGAAAGCTGTTTTGCTGATCTGGGAAATCTTGGCAGCTTTCTCTCAAGCTTTCCTCAAATGGCCTTCCAGTTATCTTGCACACACCAATAAACACTCAACAGAAAACCCAAAAGGGACACAAGATGGATAACCAGTCTAAAAAGCAAGATTCGACCTTCTCCAAGTAAACTTAAATAAACGGATAAATATGGAGAAATGAGAAGGAAATGTAAATAAAACCAAAAATGTTGATGCACTTTGAAAAACAATTAACTAAATGAAACAAGCATTCAAATCCCCGGCACCTTTCTTTATGAAAAATGCATGCCAAAGCTATGCTTCAGATTGTTGAAATAGTAACCTTAGTTTTATTTGTAGCACACTGAATGGTTAACTTTACTTCATTACAGTTGATACTACTGATCATGACTGAAAGCATAGGGAGGAGAGGAGTGGCTTGCAACTCAGAGAATTCAACATTCACCTGAGGGAGATCTCTTGGTGTCATGGTCCTCATGCTACTGTCCAAATGCATTCAGGTCTTTATATACATGCGCCACCTTTGGCATGTTATCTGCAGTCGACTCAACAACGTATTTCTTTGATTAGACAGACTGGAGGATGTTACGTCTTTAGTCTGTGTGAACCCAAAGACTGGAACGCTGTTGTCTTTGCTTTCTACTTTTTCAAACTTGTTCCATAACCCCATATAGCCCTTTACAGTTCACAGTGGCTACAGGTTTGTGACCACATCAAGTGCATTGTAAAATGTTCAAAATTTGGGAAAACGTTTTAAGACCTAAATCTCCTCTAAATTTCACCACTTTATCTCTGACCTGTTTGCGGTGTTTCTTGATTTCCATGATGCCGTTTGTTCACCAAAACGCTCAAACAAACCTCAGAGCTTCTCAGAACATTCATATGATTTTTTTTTTTAGGCGTCTCAGAGGAAATTAGGCTGAATACAAATCCATGACGCACTTTTGGAACTATTAGAAAGAAAACATACAAATCCTCTCCTCTCCACTTCACAATTATGTAAAATTTTATGGTCTATGATGAAATTTAAATGAAAATTATTTAAGCCTGCTAACATAAAAATAGTAAATACTTCTGCAACACACTGTGAAAACAACATTCAAATTGCAGAATGTCATTTTGCTTATCTGACCTCATTCAGAGGATAGTTTTAGGTCTTTATTATTGTCAATTTGCAAAAGAGTGAATGAATCAATTCTGAGTATCATGATTGTTTCCAAAGAAAATCCTTCTCCTACTAACGGACTGTACAATTCATCAGCTAAAGAAATACTTTAGTCTAATGTGAGAGGTATTTTGCTACAGCACTGACAAATGGAAAAATTATGTGCAAGGAGAAAGACGGAAGAGTTGTATTAGAACCAGATGCATCGATATCTGTCATTGTAGCAGACAGCAGGTCAGTGTAACAGTCGTCTCTAGAGTCCACGCCTCTCGGTGAAGCATTTTTCCCTGCCTGGACATAATGGTCAGAGATGTTTCTCTCTTCATCCCTCTGTCAGATGCATGTCAGGAGAAGACACGGTGAGATACGAGCTTTGAGATGGAGCCAGTACAGTAGCCCAAGTGACGCGCTTCATGAATGGATCCTGCACCTGTCCTGCTCGCTTTCCAAAAGTAGGTTTTGCCTAAAGCTGATTAATGCGACTGCGAGGATCAGAGCACTGCTTAGCATCTCTTGTTGAGGGCAGCGTGAGGAGGAAAAAACAGGAGGAAAATGAGTTCTGGTGTCTGTTATACAGTTCGCCCTGAGGTGCTAGTTCAATCAGCAGAGGTGAAGAGGAGCAAATAAGAGAAAGAGGAAGAAGTTTCAGGGGGGGAAAAAAGGAAAACAGACAGAACAGAGGGTAAAGAAGATTCATGTAAACACTGCGGAGGTTCTGGTGAAGTATGCGGTCGGTGTGTTTCTGCTCCTCAGAGGCTAAAAGGAAACTAAAGCTCACGTCTCTGATGTCCTCTCAATTTTCACAGGGATGTGTCATTGTTTGATGATATAGTGGTATCCCCCAGTTAGTTCTGGGCATAGAGTTACCATCTGCCCACAGGACACCATTACAATCTTCAGTCAACTGCTGTGGGGCACGGATGAAAGCAGCTGGATTCACAGACAGAAGATGGGGTGATGTTTGCACGTCTAATGTTAGTATATGTGTGTGTGTGTGTGTGTGTGAGGGGTGTGACAGGTTGAAATTCAAATAATAAAAAAAACAACCAAAAAACTAATGAAGTAATACTCCACAAAGACTGCATCTGTCCATCAAACCTTCTACTAACAAAGGAACATATCTGATATAAAATTGGAGTTCTTCTCAGAATTACCTCACATTTTTACTTAAAAAGTTCAACAGACTCAAACTTCAAAATTCCTTAGTTCTTCTCCGCCAACTCTTGAAGTAAAAATGCAGGACTTCATTATCACTTGTTTCCCTTAAAATTTCAGCTAAAAAAAGAGAAAGGAACAAGTAAACAAAAAGAACAGATTAATGTGTTAACTGACAGATCACTGAAAAGAAGGATGGATAGATGGATGGATATATATGGAGAAATGGATGGATGATACACTGGGCCAGACGCCCAGTGTATCCAAGAAAATTGGATACACTTTGGACATGTACAAACCCTAAACATGTCCAAGCTTTGTTGAAACATTCTTAAGAAAACCTTTTATATTGTAGGAAAATGCTCTTTTTCTTTGCTCACCAGAATCGCTGCAGATAAGGAGGTTGATATCAGCTGCATGTGGTCAAATGAACAGCAGCTGCTGAAATAAGACCCTCCTACAATGAAGGTTTTAATTTCTTCTGATAATTTGGAACAAACTTTCAGAAAACTACAAAACTGCTGAAATAACGGGCTCCTTTAAATCTAGCTCGATTTTGCCCGTTTAATTTACCTTCTAATCACGCAAAACACTTTGAATTGCCTTGTCGCTGCAGTAAAACTGCTTTCTCTAATACATTTTATTCAAAAACCGTCTCTTTGCCTCCTAAACAAATGAGGTGGCACAAAACCAAGTCATGAAAAAGTATGAATGATTAAAAGTAGGATTGTGCCTTCATGACCCAGGAGTATCAAGGCAAAAATCTTCATAAAAAATGCTAAAGGTTTATTCCCACAGGGAAACTTCCTGAAACCATGATGTATTTTCACGGCAGGCGGTTGTTTTCCTCTGCTACAGACTGTGGAATACCAGCCTTTTTTCTCCTAAAATAACCTCCTCCTGAGTCCTTGTTCTCTGATGAAAGGACGCCCCAGTACCCCTCTCCCAGAATGCACTGGGAAATGTCAAATGTTTATTAGCTTCCCATTAAACACCAGGGGTGAGTCAGAGAATTAGCTACATTCACATGTAAATCTTAGCTTGTAAGGGAAAACTAAATCTTTAATGATTATTGGGTTGAGCGAACTCAAAAGATCAACTTAAACTTTTTTGTTGTGGTGACTGTAGATTTTTTGTTTTTTTGGACGTCAATTTCTTAGCTTAGCTAGCACACTGTTTCACTACTCCAGCATCACCTGTGGCTACTCGGAGCTGAGGGAAAGAAATGTAACACAAACAGTCTGCTAATTGGCTCAATTAAGTCATTATGCAACACAAGCCAGAAGTCTGACAGTTTGCACCCCTCCGGCTCCATTTCTAAAGATCGGGGCTCGGTTTTACTCCAAACTTTCCCACCAGCGTTCTTCTATGGGAAACGAAGCAGAAGGTGCTCAGCATCTGCGCGGCTCAGATGAACCCAAGCGTGTGGATTTGCGTGTTTACCTGTCCGGACATGTCGGGTGCCAGGGTAATGATGGGCCACAGGGAGGCGTAGATGATGAAAAACACAACCCACAGGCCGATGCTTCCCCAGATGGCAATGTGACTGAACTGTGAGAAAACGGGAACACAGCCAAATAATTAGACTTTGTCTTCAATGCAGGAATCATTTACTGCAGCTGAGTTTCTCTGACTTGCTTATAAAAATTTACAGTAATGTTATTTTTTTTTTTCTTCGCTCAGAGTGAATTTCCAGTCATTTCACTGGTTACAGTTACAAGCCCACAAAGAACAAACTGTAAAGAGACTTTAGGATCAGAGAGGTGTATATAAAATGTTTCACAGGTACCTGAGGTGATATAAACAGCCAGAGAGCCTTTGACCTACCATAGTCCAGGATGAAGTCTCCAGACCAGCTTTAAGACAGACTGTGATGACGACAAACTGTTAAGGAATGGGAAAAAAAAAAAAAAAAAAATTTGAACATTTTAACTTATTTTGATCAAATCCACATTTTTATTCTTCCACAATAAATGGAAACACTGAATAGCATGATAGTGTGACTGTGACACAGTATTATCAGGAGAAAATATACATGTAAACGAACACTAGAAATACTAAACTACCAAAAAAAAAAAAAAAAAAACCTGATATGGGGACTGGTTTAAGTATAAACCAAAATGAAATGCAGATGAAATGTACAGAAACACGTAAGTTGACTAAATGGGGGTCTAACTCAACCCAAAACTAATTAACAACCATTCCCATTAGTAGTACTTTGCTAATTATAAAAACCAAAAACAACAAAATGTATGTGATGTTTATCATCGTCACAGGACAGAAAACTTGGAGTCAAAAAGACTGATGCACTTACTGTGTAGACCATATTTCCTAAGAGGAGATAGTCTGTAGTTTTTCCGCTCCCAAGCACCGTATCTGTGAAAGAAGTCGAGACAAGAGAAGCTTTGAGGAACATCACATTTCTTCTCAGGGTTTCAAACTCCACTAGAGGTCCCTTTAAAAGCCTCAGGAAGAGCTGGTGCTGGAGTCAGTTAACTGGTTCTAAAAAACAAACTTATTTGGTTTTCCACAACCATAGAGCCGTCTTGGTTCTATGTCATTACCTCACTTAAAGTCTCATCTAGTAAATCCTCACCTGAATATTTAGTGACTCCAGGACAGGGAGAAAATTTAAGTACACTTTTAGTATTATTCAACTCTATCTCAGCAAACTGATGTCTCGATATCATCAGCTTCATTTATGTATGTCGTTTCTAAAAAAAAAAAGGGGGGGGGGGGGGGGGCTAATGAATGCTTAACTATCCCGATCAACTGATTCCTGATCTGACCAGTACAGGCAGCACTCATATCAAAAGAGTCAGATAGGCCATTTGTGGATTCTGCAGAAAATTTAGCAAATGCATTTATATAAATTGCACGATAGGAAACATAAAAAACGAAAGCAGATAAAAGACAGAGAGCTGGTGTTTTCCCAGTGCTAATCCAACATTTATGCTGTTAAATAGATAAATAAAACTAAACTCAGGAGAAAAAGGCATTGTTCTCACAATATGTTCAGCTATTAGAGACACAAATCTTACAGCAGACGGCAAAACAAAGACAGGTGCCAAGTGGAGCAACACACTATATTGAACTTCAATCATCATTGCAATTAAATGTGTGCAATTTTGTGATCATAAAGAACTGCAGTTTTTATTTAAATTATTTTAATTTCAACTGCAAGGCATGAAAATTCTGCACACCCATAACATATTTGGTCGGTATGATGGATTTTCCTGCTGTTTATGTCGGCGCTGGATGCATATTTAGTGGTGGGGACAATGTGCAGACATACCGTAGTTCTTAATAAACACTAGCTGGAAGCTGTGTGGTGGAACCCAAAGCTCATTTCCTCATTAAACTTTGAGGCTCAAATAATTAATATCAGCTTTGTGGAAATGCGATTTACATTAGGGTCCATTAGGCTGAACTATAACCTACATGCCTTCACAGTGGTGAGACATCAAAATTTCCTGGCAACTCATTGTTAAATCAGATTTAAAAGGCTGGTTTCAAAGGCAAGATAGCCATTTAGTTACTATATGTGACCTGCATTTCCAAATAAGATTAGAACAAACAGAGTCGCACTGACAGGACTGCTTCAAAACACAAGTGAGTTTGGGATGTAGCCAAAGTTAAAATATCCATGCTAAGTGACTGCCAGTGGAAAAAGCAGCAGAGGTTCTCTCTACTTCCGGCTGGTAACATGCCCTGTGCTGACAGCCCGTCAGTCAGAGTGAGGCGGCTTGGCGCCTTTGTGTGGAAAGCAGGGCCAAGCTTGTGTGGTCCCTCAGCTCCGGTCAGCCAAGACTTAAAGGCTCAAGGATCGTCATTTTCTTTGTACACAAAAAAAAAATTAGTTTTAAAATGAGCACTTTTAAAGTTTTTTTTTTTTTACTAAATCCAACTAAAGATATTTGCTCAAAAGACATAAAATGTTAGTTTCCTGAATAAATTGATCAGTGTGATAGGTTTTCGCCTACGACTGCACAGAAAAGCTATCAGCTTTTGCTTAGCGCTGCGAATATGAACACATGCTTGTTGCTGCATGTCCCTCAGACCAAAGATGCCACATGTTTGTAATTCATGACTGGAACAGCCAGAGAGAGAAGTAATTAAGACAAAGTATGTGAGCTTGACTGTTTTCTCTTTTCATCCAGTCCATTGAGAACCACAGAGGAGTCGCTGGGAGCCACTAACCATGCTGGAAGGCTTTCAGGGGGAACCAGAAGAGGATGACGGAGTGGAAGAGGCCGTTCAGACAATGGGCCCAGAAGACCTGCAAAACAGAGGCAAGAGGAGTGGAGGAGGAAGGAGGGAGGAGGGGGGGGTGAAGGGTGGAGGGGACGTTGAGTGAGAAACAGAAAGAGTGAGAGAAAAGGGGGGAAAAAAGCATGTGAAAAGGGTGTGGGGAGCTCCAGGTGACCCCTGACCTGAGCCCTTTGTGCCATCCCAGCACTGGGCTAAGTGGCGGTTTTGTCGGGGCCTCCTCAGTGAATGGCCACCCCGCTGACAGACACGTTGTATATCCTCCGAATGTTATGGGGGGAGAGCGAGGCTATGTGGGATATGTATTAGCAGTGAAAAGCAAGTGGATGACATCAATGTTCGGGTTTTAATCATTTTCTCCCGTTACAACCAATTAGCACAAAGGAACTGACCTTAAAAATAGTAAAATCGAAATACTTGCACTGGCTCTAAGAACATTAAACAACATTATACAAAGAGGTGCAGAGGAAAGGTTTCCACTCATTTAATGCCGTTAGATCTGAGCTCATTCATGAGAGAATTTAAACCGGAGTAGCAATACATTACAGGAGAGTTTAAATAAGTAAAACAAATCAGTCTAGAAACACACACAGAGTCCGACAGGCTGGACAGAGATTAAACTGTTTTCTGGGTAATTATCAAGAGCCTGGAAAATCGAGCTATGGAACACCGTCTGCGCAGACGTATACACCTTGGAAGAGTTGGCTAAACCAATACACCCACTCCAAAACCACCTTGTTTTAAAATTTATATTAATGCAGCTACTCGGCCAAACAAAACACTAATGGGCCATGTAGCATGAAACAGCCGTGAAATCTGTGAGGCCAAAAAGAAGAAGAAAAAAAATCTCCCCACTTGTGCCCTCTTTCCCCTTCCTCACCCAGATACCGGTGTTCGTTCTGAGACATGAAAATTGCTCAAGCTTAGAAATTAGAGAAACTGTTTTAGGATTTTTCAATTGAGGTTCTGGTAAACGTTTCAAAGCAGTTACTGTCTGACCTGTCAGAAAACTTTCTTGGCACCTTAATTTATCGTTTTCTATCATTTTATAGCAACTCCAATATCAAAAACAGACACTTGCATGCTACTCTATGAAACTTTAAACTATTGTCTTTGTTGTAGTATGTTCACACAGGACATAGAGACACAGCAGGTCATGCGCCAAACTTGATTTGCCTGCGCTAAACACGTACCAAGAACGAAGAAAATGAAACGTTTTTAGTTAATCTGGTACAAGTACAGCGATTTCTAAAACCAAACATAATAGCAATTTTAAGTTTTGCACACCCATGTATTTAGATTAAAGTAGTTGCCTAACTAGTAAACAGAGTCCACCTGTGTGTAATTTATTCTCAGTGTAACTACAGAATTTCTGTCGAGTTTCCAGAGGTTTTGTATGAGAAAATAAGAGAACATTGAGGTTCATGAACACCAGGGAACACACAGCCAGAGCTACAATGGAACGGTTTTAATTCAAAGCACAGTTAGATGTTTTAATGCCATATGTTGGAATGGCTTTGAGTTAAATATAGATAAGAATTTTTGGCAAGACTTGAAACTCTACATCCAAACTGAGTTGGAATTATTTTTTTAAAGAAATAACAGGGAACAATTTTAGCTTCAAGATGCACAAAGCTATAAACATTGGGTTTCTGCAAATCACAAAGGCTTACAGCAATGACTGAGTGAAACTTGAGAGAAAGGTGATTCTATTACACATGCATGTACATATGCATGTCACACTTCTCCGATTTTCATTCTTTTTATAATTTAACCATTTCTCAATGTCCTTCTAAGTCAGAATTCTGCATTACAGTACCATATGGTTTTGCAATACAAAAAGCCAAATGAAACCAAAAGCAACTTAAGTTTTTGCATGTGAACAAGTTTGACAAGTATTATTCTTGCAAGGTGAAAAAAAAAAAACATACATTTATGACTTGACTATTTAATCAATTATCTCTTCCTAAAAGAACAGTTGAAAGGATAAAAAAAAGTTTGCAAATATGTCTTGAAAACATAACATGACATTTTTATGTCGCCCTGAAAAATGAATATTTTATGGTTTTCTGGAAATATTTAATGTTCTAAATACTTAATATGATCTTTGTTAATATACTGTGACCTCAGTGGCACAACCTCATCACCTTCCCGCCAGCCAAACAAAGTCTCATGACAGCTACCCCCACCCTGGATTAGCTCACGCTCCCACTGTGTACACAAAACCCAATCCACAGAGCGAGGGTGGCCAAAAGCAAACCTCCGCCCCTCCCCCTCGTTCCCCTGGCTCTTCGCTGAAACGCGTATTAAATTATCACTAATGTTACAATCACATGTTTTACTCAATTAGCCTCCCACTGACAGGCTCAGCTCTCCATCAGGTTCCCCCTCAGTTATCCCATCATGGTCACTGCAGGCGGGAGGACGAGCCTCCAGGTTTTCATCTGCAATAATGAATGCTAATGAAATCAATAAATTCACATAATCATTTGTCACAGTGGGATCCTTTCCTTTAAGCCATCAATCCACCTGGGTATCTTTTTGCTCTTGTTTTCTCTTTGAGTTGGTTAGGATCCACTCTGAATGAATGGCTGCTCTGTCTTGGGAAAATCTGGCCCTTTGTGGAAGCCTTAATGGCCAAAAAAAGCAAAACACATGAAAGGCAGTAATTAATATGGAGCCAAATATTTCCAGAGCAGCCTTCTCTTTTCCGTTTCTTTATGAACAAATGAGGTAAGGAGGCGAGAGAGAAAGAAAAGCCCCGCAAACGAGGTGGTAGTTGTTGTTAAACTGCAGCTGTTATTAGGGCTGCAAAGTGATTTAATAGTTTGCATGGGAACCTACTACGTCCTTAAAAGTAAATGAGTGACACAGTTGAAACTCCCAGCGTGAACCTCTCCCTGCTCACACCTCAACACAAACAGCTTTAATTCACAGAGACAGTATCTGTTGTGTACAAAAGAGCCGGGGCCCGCAGAAAGACAGGTTTCGGAGGGGCCAAATTCCTGATGGATTTTCTCGCCTCGCCTCGGGCCAGCTGCAAGGAAAATATCTCTGGAAGAGAGTGGACAAGCCAGCAAAAACAACTTGCTGACCTGACCGAGTCATCATTTATGGGTCTTGGAAAATGTGGCCCAAACAAAATTTAGGTTCGTTGCCTCAAAGTATCAGGAGGAATACGTCTGGGATTCTTTTCTGGCATAAGAAAACTTCATGAAACATCCCAAAAGGTTTAATCAAGGGAAAATCCATCTGAGAGCAGGATTCATATGAGAAACCCTTTAGCTACGTGGTAATGTAGCTCTGCCCAGCATGTGTGCTTTCATTCAAGATGGTCACAAAACGATTATTTTAAGGGGGCTTTATTGACCCATGTCATTCTTTACTGTAACATTTCATAATTTTAACAGTTTAGGTTTTTTTAAATGCATGAGTAAATGTAAAATAAAAATCCATACATAGAATTTAATACTTGGAAAAATTAATGAAATTTAATTTAAAAACTCAAAGTAAAAAGAATAAAATGTAATGAAAACTTAAATGGTAAATGCATAAAAAAAAAAATCAGAATAGGCAGAATCTAAAACAATATATATAATGTGATACCTAAAAAATAAATTAAATGAACTAAAACGTAATATTTTTTATAAATGAATAAACAATAAGCAGATTAACAAATATCCATCTTAGGAACATATTTATATAACAATTCCTGGCCATGCAGAAAGGGTCAAATAAACAGCTAAAATATGATTACCATGTTTAGAAATAACTGATTAAATAATTTACTTTAGTCCTTAAAATGAAAGAGGAGTTTTGGACAGAAACCGATGCATATTGTTCGCTCCTGTCTGGTTTAAATGTGATCTGATAGGCCTGGCCTCCAAACATACGACTCTCTTCCTTAAACAAATTGCTTAATTTTCCGCAACAAATCCTTGTTATATAATGGCAACATGCTCCCAATTTTCTTCCTTGCTCTCCCTTTCAGTTCCAACCCAAAACTCATCTGACCTTCCCTGCCCCAGACCACCATGGCCAATCCTCCTTTTAATCCACCTCCATGTGCAGCTAACCAGGTCACCACGCCTGTGAGGAAGGTCCAGTGGTCTGTGGCTGGGCATGAAGAAAAGAGTAGACAACTTTATTACCCAGCAGGGGAAAGCTAACGGACAGGCCCCCCCACACCGCCCACAACCAGACAGAATAGGTCAAGCCTCGCCAAACCAGACACTGAGTGGAGATCCACGAGCTACAGCTGCCAGGTCACTGAAAGAGGCGATAAATCCTTCAGAGCAACAACAGAAACATCGCCTTTCATTAATGTGACGACAGCTGGTTTCAAGATCAGGAAAGTTTGGCCTTTGCATTTATGTAACAGAACATTTGTTTTCAACCGTGGCAAATGAAATGTGTTTTTTTTTTTTTTTTTTTCGCATAAGTTTGGTTTCAAAGAATATTACAAATAAACATCCTCCAATGTCTGGATTGATCTGGTCATTTCCTATCAAGTAGGCAGGTTGTGAAATAAAGTGGAAAAAGAATGATGGACATAAGAGATGATGCAAATTCTATAAATATATTCACAAGCAAGTAATTTGTTAGAGTTTTGTCTTACCTTGGTGTTGAAGCCCATTGCATTCTGCGAGGTTTTGTAGAGCTCTGGGTATTTTAGCATATTCTCTTTCCTGCAGGAGCGCTCAAATATTCCCAAAGTAAGAGGGGGTAAGGCAGTAAAGAGCTACATCAAGAAAAAAGCAACACACACACACACACAAAAATATCACGTTTCAGCTACACCAACATGAAACATTTACCAAAGTGATGAAACATCTGATATAAAATGTTAAGAAGATAAAAACAACAAATTAATAATTTGATGTTTGATGAAACTGCCTCTGCTCCTAATGTCAAAATTTTATTTTTAAAAAATTATCCTCATTACTGTTTGTTTTTTTTTTTTTTAATAACTTTTTGCAGTTCAGGTCACTGCACAAAGTTCGGATTGGTGCATTTCTGCTGTAAATCTCATGTCTGTTTTTAACTAATCACAGATGCCTATTCTGATCATTCCCAATACCTCCATATGCTTTAATTTGCTGGAAATTTGTTTCAGTCTGTTCTCCAATTGCGCTACACTTAAGTCTGATTATTGAGGACCACTGACCTTGAACCCTTTGGGGGTTTTGTTTTGATTGGTCACACTTTCAGTCCGTTCATATGCAAAATCCGTCTCCCAATAAACATCTGCCAGGTTCTGGACCAAGAGGCAGGTATTTAAGTCTGGCTTAAGTGTAATTTCTTAGAGATGTTGTAATGTTGCATGTAGCAGCTGCTGGGAGAGAAGCGCTGGTATTGTGTGTAGTCGAGAGGGCTCAGTGGCCAGTTGGTGTGCGATCCCTGCAGGCCCATCTGGAGCGGGAGTTGGCTGGACTGGCAGGACACAGGACATGCTCCATTGGGTTCTCTTTCTTATTCACAGCCAAGCCCTAAAGGACTTCTCTATTGAAGGGTGGATTCAGACCGCTGCCTCCAACAGACTCCCACACAGCCAAAAGAATTCCCCAAGTCTTTAAGAATGAAAAAAACTTAACTATAACCCCACTCATTCAAACACCGCTGGTAATATGGAATGGTGGTTTATTATACAACTGATTAAAGAGGCAGCACTGCTGAGCTGTCCTCGTCAACTGACAGTTCCTGCTGCAAGCAAATTGTTTCCATATTTGAGGAATATTTCTCATTTTGAACAGAGCCAAGTTGAAGTTTTATTGTAAAATTAACAAGCACACATTCCCCCCCCCCTCTGCTTAATTTATGACAGATATGAAATATGAGCTCATTAGGAGTGGCCCTGTTATTGTGCCCTGTGGGATTCCCAAAATCAGCTCACTTGCCGCTCCACTCTTCCTATTCTTTTTATCATTCAAACGTGGCCACTCTAAATAACTACCCTCTGTGGCGCGAGCAAAGCTGTTATTCTTTCACATTCAGTGCATAGCTTGGGGCACAGAGGGAGTATCGACTTGACATCTGGTCATAAATAACAAATAAATTTTTCAGGATGTAAATGCCACACACTGGCAAAAAAAGAATCACTTTTGGGGTACCAGAGCTAAACTGTTTGGTGTCAAAGAGGGGATCGGCTGGAGGTGCAAAGTGGTCTCTTCAGAGAATAAATATTCCCAACACTCACCACATTATACAAGCCGATACACCAGCGTTCAAAGAGAATCTGTCCAGAGAAGCCATTGACGAATGCAAACCAGATCTGTGTAAAAAAATAAAATGAAATAAATAAATAAATATATATGTATGTATATATAATAAAAATTCACATTAAAAAGCAGGAAAGTTAAACAACAATATGTTCTGTTGTCCAAAAACATTCACAAAACTCTCTACTGGTGCTGTCCTCTGAAGCTATAAAACTAATAATTTATTAACAAGATTATAAATGAATGTTTTCCATTAATAACAGAATAAACCCCAATTCATACCTTTAGGTCAGGTCTACTGTCTGCTCAACTGTGAAGCCTGCCTATGTGACGTACTGTAATTTTCTGACTGTGCTCACTGTCCGCACCAACAGGGAATAAGACTCTAAAAGGTGGTGTCGAGCATACAGGAGTTAATAAAAATGAGCTAGATCACAAGCAAAAAAAAAACAAATCTACAAGAAAATACAGTATGGAGAGATCGACTGTTGTGAGCTAAAAATCGCATAAATAAGGCTGTGTGCCAAACTTCTTCTTGTAATGACTTTCGCTTTAGGAATTAAACCTTGCAAAATCTGAATAAATAAGTAAGTCAAGGTGGGATAGTTTGAACTTCTGACCTGGGATCAGCATATCATTGGTTGGACTTGCCAAATTTCTTAATTAGGTAAAATGGGGCCAATGAGAGAGAGAGGAAAAAAAAACCTTCATCCCTTCAATGGAAACGGTTCACTGTATTCACTGCAGGTTTACCTCTAAACCCGCTGCTCTACCTGACAACATGTGGGTGACAGATGAGGTTTGCTGCGCTGCTTAAGCCACTTAGGTAATCTGATCGAAGTAGACAAATGTAATGCAAACCATCTGTTGTGCGGAAATAAAACTCATGATAACCTCAAAAAAAGTTAAAAAATAAAGCGTAGAAAACTAGGACAAAAATTATGCATTCTGAATATGAATCCATCGGTACAAAGCTGATGTATCAGAAACACCGTGAAGCGAAACTGACAACCCATGGAAGCTATGATCAGAAACTGCACCTCACAGTGTTGAAGTTTGACAATTGGTGATCCAGGACAGGCTTTAGCTGCTGCCAAAACTGTCAAGAGAACATAAGGGAAGCTGTGTTTTGGCCATGGCCTACCAGGAATTTCCTCGCTTCATTTAACGTCATTATGAAGGCATGAACTGCTACAAATTCTCACATCGGGACAAAGCTTGTTTGACGGCCCCGCCCGCCACTGCTGCCAGTGTCTACACGACCAATACCAGTCTGCCCGCTGGTTTTTCCCCATTACATCGGGTTAGCATATGCATGACAACAAATAGTGGGGGGCCAGCCGATAAATCCCAACTTTCCCTGTGTGCCAGGATCCTGCCCCTCACCTTTCAGCTTCAGTCACACCCACCAATGACCGATCCTCTGTCAGGTCCACTCTATCATGATGATTTTTTTTTTTTTTTTACATGAGCAGCCTGTTAAATCATGTGGGGTGTTCAGATGAAAATGGAACCAGATGGCTCCGAATGCAAAGACAATAGAACCACAACCTCAGATGTTTTGGATCTCGGCTTGTTTAGAATTGCATTCAGATGCCGTTGCTAGGAGTTATGCACGGTATGGATGAAGCTCAAGTCATGAGGCAGGTTCAGCCATTAGGATGGCTCAAGGGTTGGTACGGAGCGGCTTGTGGGTAGGTCAAACTGCTGAATTAATTACAGATCTGCTCAATAAGAGCCTCTGGGCCGATACATTGTTGTGCTAAGTTAAAAAAGCCTCCTATTCACATGGTGGGGTTGCTGCTTCTGTGCGAGTGTTTTGGCCTCGTCCTCCAGGTTCCAATGGCTTCGCTCTCTTTCTCACTCTCCCATCTCTTGAGGGACAGATGCATTGATTTGCTCATTAGGGGAAGTACCAGGCAGGATTTTACTTCCCTTTTTTCTTCCCCTCATTGAGTGCCACTCAGTGAAGGGGTGTGGCTGGCCTCTCTCCCTCACTGCACATCATGAAAACATTGTTGGAGCAAAAGCGGGAGCTGGAGGGGGAACAAAGAAAGGGGGTAGACGAGAGACTAAAGAGACTTGCATATTCATCAGCAAATGAAAAATCACTGATTCCAAGGTTGCTCCACAGCGCTGCAGAGCTGTATAAGAGCCTCGGTCAGGAAGAGGCTGGGTGGGAGTGACATTTGTCCCCAATAGTGCGAGTCTGGATACTCTTAAGTTTGGCTCGGCGGGATTGCTAATTGAATTCATTCACAAAGCAAGCAAAGTATAAAGCGGATGACAAAAAGGGAGCTGATAAATATGCTGGAAATATGTGAAGCTCTGAACAGAGGTTGTATTACAACGCCAAGCTCGGCCTTTAAGTATTAATTCAGTCCAAATGGTTGGTAAGATTTTACTCTTGTACTCTGAGCATTCCTGAACCACAGTGAGCTTGATCGAATGAGAGTTTTATATTGCCTCATATGCATCCCTCGTCCATCAGGTCCCCAAGTAGCGCCCAACGTTATGTCAATCAAACACCAGAAGCTATAAAGGTTGCGCATTTCAATAGAGTTGCTATGGATTCTCTCACAAAGGATTCCCAGCATTAAAGTGAGTAAATTCAAGTTTTTTCATTGCTGGTCTTTATCCAATTGTAACTTGTTCCAAAGTCAAACTTGGGAATTAAACTCAAGGTTTCTTTAAACCATTTTGTTTAAGAAAAGCAAGGCCTCGCACAAAGATATTCAGATTCACTGAATTAATTATTTATTTACTTATTTATTGCCATCCTACAACTATAGACTTTAATGTGATCTCTCAGGATTTTATGCGTAAGAGCAACCAAGTAATGCATAATTATGAAGTGGAACGGAAATGTGTTTTTAAAGATTATTTCACAAACAAAAATTCAATAACTGAGGTTTGCATTTTTGTTCTGCCCATTTTACTTTGACACACTTAATAAAAAACAGTGTAACCAATTGTCCCGGTCAACAGAATTTACTTGTGTTTATTTGAATCTCATTACAGATGAGCTGTGAGGTTTGTTAGAGAACATTGGTGGAGAAACGGCATCAAGGAGGCTAAGGAACATACCAGACAGGTCAGGGAGAATGTGGTACAGATGTTTTAAAATGTAATGAAATATAAAACTATTTACCCTAGACTTTAACTAAGAGTTTATGGCAAGACTCAAAAACATCCCATCAATCCAGTCTGAAGAAGCTAAGCTATTAAGCAAAAAAGAATGGGGAAATATTTCAGCGTCCAGATCAGCAAAGCCACGAGACCTACCCACGAAGACCTGCAAGTGTTTTGAATGGTGCTTCTATGTAGGCTCAGTTGAGGAAATAAAAATCCCCTTTTAAGATAAAAAAAAAATAAAAATACAAAGTTGATTTGTAAAAAAAAAAAAACATTGAGGTTTGGACTTCTATGCAACAGAATCATTGAAGCCAAAAGAAACTTTGAGGTAGTTGCACTGCTCAACCATGCAGTTAAGATAAACTTATAATAAACCCCATAATGACTGACAGAATCATTAGCTGCTCCAAGTGTTTGCACCCATGTTCAAGTCTCTCACAATGAAGCAACAGAAGGGCTTTTCTAAAGAATCAAAGAGTTTGGGGATAGAGAGGCAGATGAAAGAGATCTAACCATTGAGTCTAGTATTCATATTGTACAAATCAGTGTATAGGACAATGACGTGGAGAACAGAATGTCAAAATTTCTATTAGCAGCCAATTCTCTTCTTGCAAACCAGCCTTAAAGTTGAACAGAATAAAGATGAGTACTCAAACGTAAACCCACTAGTGCAACAAACGTAGCTTTTAATCATACCCTGGAGCTGAAGGTGGGGTTTTTTGTTCAGACGCTGCAAATACTGAACCAGTGATAGACTGGAGAAATGTCTCATTATCTGCTTCAGACCCCTAAACACATGTTAAGTTGGCGGAAGAAGTGAATACGTCTGGAGGGCCACAAAAAGTGCGCCCAAAGTCTAGATGGTGGATTAAAATTTTGGTAAAATCACTGACATGCAGCCTGGTGAATTTCAAACGGCAAATACAAAAAAAAAGAACAAAGATATTGTCTTGATTATATATCATTCACTTCTGGAAAGTGTCCTTTATTTAGTCCCTTACAATAGAATGTGAAATACTTGGTGATAAAAAGCAACAGGTGAAAGTAATTCAATTTTTGGGAAAGAATGAAATGTCAAATGTAAGGGTTCGTTGTCATATAATCAAGTTAGTCTAAAATTGAATTTTCCCTTGGATTTGTGTGTGTAACTTCAACTTAACCTGATCCTGAAAAGGGCAGTGTGGTCGAGCAGATGTAATGGAAACAAAAATGCACTTGTAGTCTCTTTCTACAAGTCGCACACTGGAATGTCTTAGGTAGCTGACTGATTTTTCATGGCAAATAAACTTGAAAGCCACCCGAGGTCAGAAAATGTCAACGAAAGAAAAACGGTGCTCTTATTTTAAACGATGTTTAATGTCTGCTTTTCATCCACAACGACAGCAGAAAATGTTGCAACATACCTTCTTGTTTTATTCTGTGTTTGTTAATCTTGCATATGTTTTAATGTTTTCCACTGATTATAATTCAAATGGAGAAGAAGCATTTTCTGGATCCGAACTGGAAGTTAAATACATTTTCTCATATATGGCATCTTACTTTTCAGGTGCCATCCAGCTGGTTTAAAGGGAACAGACATGCAATCTAGATAGATTGTTATTGTGTGCGTCACAGTGAAACACAGATTAGAGAAAGCCAAGGCAAGACATGTCTGAGGAGCCCAGGCAGAATGACAACTGTTCCCACCGTTTTCCAAAAACAATGCGTTTTATAGGAACGTGCCCAACATGCCACGATGTGGATACAAGAGGAAATGCAACCTGAGGTTGGTAGAAAAAGAGCCCAGATGACCAGTCCAACCGTTCAAGCTGAACCCCAACATCAATGTGCGCAATTTTCTGGTTGTACTTTTGTGCAAGTGTGAAGCATCATGAACTCCACTGGACAAGACCAAGGGGGTTCCAGTATTGACGACTGCCCTCCATAAAAAGGGCCAAACTGGAATCTCACAAAATGAATGCTGACAGGTGCCAAAGTTTCTGGGAGAAAATCCCTTGAACTGATTTATTTTGGCCAGCTACATCAACGTTGCAGTATGTTTATAGAAACTGAAATTAAGCTTTCAAAGAACCTCAAATGTGGAAACATGGAGGTGGCTCAGGTTTTGTTTTGGGGCTGATTTTCTGCATCTGGTAAAAGAAAGTTATTTTTTTATATAGGAAATAAAAAATAAACCATGTCATAACTGTCAGATTTTAAGTTGTGTCAAGGATAGTTATGTGTATATCTATTTATTTTGGAAGGTTATCAAAACATTTGTAATGAGTGTAGTTCTCCAATAAGAACTGTAAAAGGTAGAATTAACATTGGTAAGCATTTGGCTAAACCTGTAAGTAACAAGCAATAAATCAATAAATTGCATGATGAATTAAAATGAGACATGATTTCCATTTGGACAACAGTGATGAAGAGATATTCTCATTTAATATTGCTGGAAAACTGCCATTTGGAGAAACGCTGCAAGCATTTGACACAATACAAAGTAGTTGGTTTGAACTACCTGCCACTTTTGCCTATTTTCTCCATCTAAGGTGAATGAATATTACTTTTTTTAAATGACATTTTGTTTACCGAGTTCTCATAATCCATTTTAATTATTGTTGTGTTGGCTATTTTGTTGGTTTATTTAAAATAGTAAAATGTTTTCAAGTTCCAGGGTTACACATTCTTCAGAAAATGCTTTTTGCTCTTTGAGAGGATGTACTTGCATTAATATGGCATTTCTGTTGTCATATTAGTTGAAAATAGTCTCAGGATATTATTGTTTATTGTAATAATTTCTGGGACAATTTATCGTCCTGCAAGATTCATTAATGTAACTGGCCTCCATTGGGTATTAAAGAGCAATTTAAGTGTAAAAATAGAATAATTCAGTAGACCTCTAACTATCATGTAGGTTAAAGGACCTTAAAGGAGCAAGCTGCAAATTAGGAGCCCTCTTTAAGACTGAAAATCCAAGGTTAAACCTATAGTTATGCAAATAAAACATTCAATACTGTTTTGTTGCATCTATCTGAGTGAGACTGTGTGATGAAACTCTCAGTAGCATCCAGGTTTGAATCTCTGAAAAGACACGATGAATAAAAAGATGGATAAGAACATCTGAACACTGGTGGCGATAAGGACTGCTACTGCTGATAGCAGCTACTTAGCCAGTCTGGTCACGCTTAGTGATAGCTCTGAAGCAGCTATCTGCGCCGAGTCTGGTTTCTGTCAAATGCAATCAAACTTGTCACACACAGAATAACAGAGGTAGGGACTAACATGAAAATCTATCTAAAGCCCGTCTACTGACAACATGGTGGTCAGCCTGTCGTAGCTCCTGATGAAGTGAGCAGGTTCACAAACTGGTCGCTGACTGTAGTAACTCAGGTCTAGCTTGAACAGCAGATGAAACTACTGCAGGTACCATCAGTGGCATCTTGAAGAGTTTATGCATTCTGTTAGCTCAGGATATTAATTTATCACTGAAAATAACCAGGGAACATTTTCTTTTATGTTATTTGGTCAATACGTTTTGACATCCATTTGATTCTTTGCGTTATTTTTAGTATGGAGAGACTTTGTTCGACTTACCTCAATAATGTAGAGTACAATGTTCTTGTAGAAGCAGTACAGGATGCATTTGGCTACACGGTTGTAATTCCAGGCTCCGTGGACGAGCAGCAGATTCTTCAAGTATTTGAACTGTGTGGGAGGGAGTAAATGGAGGGCAACGACATGATGAATGAAGAGCGGAAGCCTGAGTGCAGCACAGCTCTAATCGTTCTTCATAATTAGAGATCATAGCTGGAACATTGAAGCAACTAAATGTACTTCAAGATTAAAGCAAGCGTTTAGTCTTTTTTTTTTTTTTTCCAGCGGAAATCTGAAGGACCAGTATAAGATTTTGGCCAAGTCCCTCACTAACACATTCCAAAAAAGACCAGTCACAGACTGCAGGGCCAAGCTTTAAATTGCAGCAATTAGCGAGGTTCGTATAGGGGTATTGGTCTCCAAAAGCTGTGCATTACACTTCAGTGGCTTTGTGGTTATGCTATTATTTAGAGCTTATGTTAAATTTTCAAATTATGGACTTATCTTCACAATAAAACAAATAATGAAAGGCAAAAATGAATAAAAACCCAGTAAAAGCTGGACTGCAGGTAAATTAAGATTATTAGATATGGAGTAGGCCTTAATCCAGATATAAATGTACAGAGAAACTGCATCAATAACAGAAACTGTAGGAAAAGTCAAACTTTAAATTGTGATTTCTGTGCACTTTCCATTTAAGAATTTTATGCGTTACCAGACCTAAAACTTGATTTTTTTTTAAAGATTTTTTTTTTTTTTTTTTTTTTACATTTGAGACAATTTACAAAAAAAAACAAAAAAACAAAAAAACATTTCCCTGAAAGTGCTTGTGCAGTTGACAGGTTTCCTCTGCATCTTTTACGAATTAGGAAATAATAGCTTTGAAGTTGACTGCATTATAACCTTTTAAGCCAAATTACATCAGTCCCAATAAAAAAATCTATATATGAAGCTCAGACTTCCTAAAATCAGGACCAATTCTAAAGTGTGTGAACTTTATACCTTCTCCCTGTTGAAGGCTGTTCCGATACTTTGTTCTGTATCTGAACCATCTTAGAACTTGCTTACTGTCAGGACCACAGGTCCAGTAAATCCTGGTTAAAGTGGGCAAGAAGTTAAAACGTTCCTTGGAAACGTTCCTTTTTTCTGGGTTTTTCTGCAAGTCATCAGGCAGAAACCAAAAAAAACAAAATACTGGTGGCCAAAATTCCAGAATTTAACTTCATGAAATTGTAAAGTTAGATCGTCATGTGGCAAATCAAAGATAAAAAAAGAATAGTCCAAATTAAAAAGAAATGCAATGCAAATAAAGAAATGAGATAAAATAAGTCAGAATGTCTGGCACCAGATCTATATCTTTTTGCCATATTTATGTATCCTAAGGTAGTAGGAAATTATTCTCTGAAAAAAAAATATAGTGAATCACTTCCTTCCTTACCTATTGCTGCCCACTGTTGGTAAGCTGGCTGAAAGAAGGCTCCCTGAGAAGATAACTTGATTAATTTGCCCGCTTCTATTTACTTATTGTACTATAGTTACTCTATAAAGAGCAGAACAACATAAAAATTTTATATTCTGCTGCATTAGCACCTCAAAAGTGCTGCTAAATTTATTGTTTCATGCTTAAATGATTATTATAAGAATCCATATGTGCATCGTTTACCATAAAGAAGAAATTGCCGTTTTCTGTTTAAAATGAAAGCAATTACATCATGTTATGTATTTGTTTAAAGTTTTTTTCATACAGAAAATTTGTGCTGCTTTTACTCAATGATCCCAAACATATTATTTCTCTGGGGTCTGCTGACTTCTTTTTCAGCGTCAAAGAACTATCTGTCGTGGTCTCCAGCTAGCGTGACCAACCGTCGTGTTGGACATATTTATTAAAAAAAAAAAAAAAAAAGTTGAATACACGGTAGACGGACAGCAGAGGTGCCATGACCCAAATATTTTTAATCCTGAAACCGACTCAGCAAGCAAACCTGACTTCTATAGGAGCGAAAAACTGAATCTCCAGCAGAAAGGAGCTCATCCAATTCTCTTCATGATCATTTACTTCATGTAGAGGGATAAAAATAACAAGCTGTGTGATTTTCTAAGACTGATTCTGGTTTGAACTCGGCAAATTACAGTTAATGTGATGTAGCAGTAAAATACCAGTTGAGGTCTGGAGGTGCAATTTAATTTAAAGCAGGGGCAAAAACCTAAATGGATTATTAAACCCCTGGGTTTTGAAGGACACACTCTCCACATGTCATATGGATCAAAGGCCTCTTGAAATATAATTGCATGCTGAAGTACAGAAGATGTACTGTTGGCTTCTCATCCTCGAAAGCCTCTTAGCGTTAACAGAAACACGATGCGCCGTACATCGAAGCGGTGGATCAGGAGCTCCCCGGCTTTTGTTGCTTACACATATCGCATATCGACGGAGTGTTCCAGACGAGCTGGTTACCAGGACGCAAGCAGGTATTTACACAACATTTTGCCAGAATCCGTTTTCGTGACGCTTTGTTGGGAATTTGATGTCAACAGGCGCCTGTTTTACAGGTGTTTCTACTTCAATGTTAAGCCCCAGCTCATTCAGATAGATCACCTATTGTTATTCAGAACAATGTGCAATCCTATCACTTACACAAACCACGCGAGAAGGCAGTGGCAGAAACAACAGAAATGTATCACTATACCCTGCTGATAAACTAAGAAAACAAAGTAGCTGTTTATGTTTATTTTAGTTCAGGTGTATTCCTATGGGTGATGTTTGCCATTCTGGTACAAACACATTTTAAAGATTCAGTATTATTTTTCATGTCACACTACTCAGGTCTTAAACGCGTCTTATCCTTCAGTTTGACCACTTTTTATGTGAAGAAAACTTGAAAACACTTCCTCTTTCCTCGTGATAGAGCATGCTATTGCGCTCACCTGGGCAATAGAGTAGTCAGAAGAGTTTGCCGCCTGCAAACCCTCGTTGCCAGAGATTCCCACTCCGACATGAGCTGTCTGGATCATTCCTACGTCGTTAGCTCCGTCCCCAATGGCCAATGTGATCACCTTCACTTGTTTCTTCACCATTTCAACCACCTCCGACTTCTGAAGTGGAGAAACTCTGAAAGAAACCAGCGACGCTTGTATTACGCAATGCATGATTTAGCAAGTTTAAAAGAAGTCATGTTTTTATTGTGCAACATTCTTTTTTTTTATTTTGAGATGGACCTTTACACTTTGAGCAGTGCAAAAAAAAAGCCATATATGTATGGGTAAGGGATTAAATGGCATTCTGTGTTTAATCAGGAAGTAATTTCATATTTTCAGTGAAGGAAATGGACACGTTTGTAACTTAAAGCTTTTTTGGAAAGAATTAATGTTTTATTTTACCACATTAAATATATTAAGGGAGTAAAATTAGGAGGAACGCATTTGTAGCTTTTCATAGCTTTTGCGGAGGAACTGGGATGAGTTAAAATTTGTCTTCGTTGGGTGCAGCATTGCAAATTCTGCAATATTTTCAGCTTATATCCAGTCGGCTTGATACATTTGCATCAGCAAAAAAGTTAAAAACCAAACTCGGGCAATAAATCTCTTCTGCAGACACAGAAAAGGACAAAGGGCACACGGTTAGCGGCAAAGCACAATTTCTGCAAAGGGAAATGCGCAAGTTCAAAGAATTCACATTATAACAAGAAATCAAATAGCACATGCCTTTCCAACAGTTAAAGTCAGTGGAGAACGTTATTTATTGACTTGGTGCTCAGACAGTTATTACCTGTTGCATGTTTAGTGTGAAGAAAGCAAGGGCATTGGGGAGCAAACCTGCAAGCGTATTTTTCCATTCGAGCTCCACCGTGCCAGGCGAGCCGGCTGCTGACACTTCATGCATCCAGGGAAGAAAGATCTGTCCACAGCTCCATATGAAGTAATATACTCCACCCATTAGAGATTTTTATGTTATTTGACTGGAGTCCAAGTAGAAGGAGTCAGAGTATATTGACTGTTGCTGTGTTGACACCTGACCTCTAGTAAAAATACATCCAATACAAGAGTATGCAGTTTCCTTCAACTCATTAAATGCATAATCAGCACAGCCAGCTTTGATTTAGACATATTTCACACATAGTTTGTATTTAATATCAACTTAGATTATTCTCTAGATGTCATTTCATATTTTTTTTTCCAGTTAATTAATAACTAGGTCATGAAAGCAAACTAAATTGAAACAAAGACATAAACTGCTCACATCTGAAACATTTTACATTTACAAGCCTAAAACGGTAAAAAAACATGGAAGATCCCTCTTTGTGAACAAAATGCAACGCAAATAAACGTCATATCTGTCTTTAAAGGGTTAAGCTGCGAAAGCTTATTTTCTGAGGTTTATGGAGAATTTTCCCTTCCCTGGTGTATCTTTGTGTGTACCCAAGGCAAACACAGTTGGAGGGGGAAGAAAAATAAAAATTTGAGATCATGTACACGGTGCAAAGGTAATAAGGTACTCTGAGAACATGCTGCTGATTTCTGGCCAGGTAGCCCGTCACAGGCGCTTAAGCATATAAGTACTTCCTACAGTGGCAAAGGAGGTCACTGGAGTATCTTTTCATTGCCAGTTTTATTTATTAGTGTTATACGGTTTTGATAATAATAGAGAAGTAGAATTATTAGTACTCCAAGTTTAATGTGTCTTTATGCGTGCAGGTTCTGCTGTCATCAATTTGGGAATTGTGATTTCATTTAGAGAAATATTTTCGTATCCTGTGTCTGATCAAAACTGATGGCTTGTTGGAATGTTTCAAAGGTTCACTTGTATTTCAGGCTCATTTTATTCCCTCAGGAGTAAATTTTACCTGCAACAAATGACTGCTTTACAGGACAAGGCCAGATCCAGGAAGTACTGACGCACTCCGAACGTTAGGGCGTATTTCAGAGTCTTCCCGTCAATAATGAGAGCAAAGTCATTTTCCTTGTAGATGGCTTCTCCCAGAAGTCCACAGTGGTGGCTAAGAGTTTCCCTTGTTGCCTGGAAGATACAAAATACGAAAATCACAAATACTAGTTATGTACAGCTAGATCTGTTTAGAAGCAATAATATAACCTCTATTCTTTTGCTTTGATACAGTTTTTAGAAAAATGTGCATGTAGAAGAACAATGAACTAAAAGCACCTTTTGTATAAATTTGAATAAAAGTTTCACACAGCAGCTCAAATAGACTCCTCACAGGCCTTCACATAGATGATCTCTGTGTAGAGTCATGTATATTGCAATGTTATCCACTTAGTATTAAACACTCTTGACTTGGCCCTACTCCAACCTATTTGTAGCAATTATAATAAGTCATATTTCCTTAATTTATCCCAGGATTTTTCTTCAAAAACTGGACTGAATTCTTTAATCAACTCTCCCTTCGTGAGGTGTGTAAATTTAAGGCATGTTTGTTTGAATATGCGGACTTTTTTTGTATTATAGTAGGTAAAAAAAAAAAAAACTGTCCTTGAATCAGAGTTTTGAATAAATAATAAAGTCCACAAGCTTTGTCTGAAACATTTGTTCAGAGAAAGCTTGAACAAATGTAGGATGTAAAGCGTTATGAAGAACATAATGTCTGCCACCCTCCAGTCATTCCCAACTGCGCCCTAAATTTCAAAGTTCCTTTTTTTTTTTACATTTTTAGAATGAAAAGTTTTGTTAAATTATGATAAAACTTCACATGTGGAGGTTATTTTGAGACGTACCTCCTACCAAAGCATGTCAGATACTGCAGCACACCTTCAGGTGTTGGTGGAGTTCATTGTATGGCAAATCAGGGATGCTTTAGTCGCAACTCTCCATCAGGCAGGTGGTCATGCTGCTAGGTCTGATCAGCTTACATCTTAACTCCAGTTTCTAACACCAAACTGCTGAGGAACATCTGCTTTTCATCCTGGATGTTTATTATCATCTTTCATATTTATTACACTTGGACACAGGCTATGAGGCGATACCGTTGATAAACTGAAGACGGATTCTGATTATCTTTACAGTAGATCCTACGATGACTGATAAGAGATGATGCGGAAAAAAATAAACGATTCTGACAAGAGGATCAGCTGTCATGGAAAACAGGCATGTCTGGAAGGACGGAGCGGTGAGATCACCGTTTTTATCTTCCGTCCTCTCCACAGATGGTGAGGAGAGTTTCTTAATATCAGACAGGTAGGGAGTCACTTTATTTAACATAAAACATAAATAATATCTTTGGATTCATGTGTCGTAGTGAAAATTGTTCATTTATAAACAAGCTTCAACTCGGAACATAAAGTAAATGAGAAAGTGTTGAATATGTGGTGCCAAGCAGATGCACAAACAGCTGAACTTGTATAAAGAAATAATGGAGACCATTTTCAGAACTGAAAGAGGAAGGTGCCTGGCCTGGCGTGGAGGTCAGATATGTCAAAGCCTTCAGATTACACCATGGGGACCGCGCAATTTTCGCCTGGCATAACAGAACTCTGAAACCTCAGCTTAAGGGAAATATTTGGAGAGGGAGGCTTTACGTTTCACAAAGTGAGCAATGCAGACCGAGAGACACGCACGGAGAGAGATGATGGATTAACAGGAGGGAAGCTGAGCAAGAGGATACAAGCCGAGAGCAGCTGGGAGGACTTTACCATCCTGATGGGATCTATAAAACAGCTTGAGATGGCGAACAGCGGGCAAGCGCATGTGTATCCATGAATGCGTGTTGAGGTCAGGGTACCCACAGGCTGGAATATCTAAATTTAAGTACAACAGTTAGATCCGAGTTGCCCTGGGTCGTTTTAGATTACATCTCGGTGCATTAGCAATGCATGAAATGCTCTCTGTACAGACCACTGGAACACTTTGTTTGGGACATCAGCAATCCATCATAAAGTCTGATAAGCAAAGTTTACAATTTCCTCAAGTACTTTGCTCATTTCCCCCCTTATTTCCACTGAGGAATTTTAGCGCTAATGCTACGCGTCTCCGGCTAAAGCCTCTTTGTTATGGCTATAATCACCAGTTGAGCCTATGTGACGAGCTAGTGTTTGGTTTTGGAACGGGTATGTGGTGGCCATTCAGAAATCCACGGGAGCTTCCCATAAAGACTGAGCTCCATTGTTGATATAGTTCTTGACTGATGCAGCCAAAAGGACGTGACCGTCATGATGTGGAATCTGGACATTTGTATGGATCAAATGTCATCATCTGTTCAGACTCAGAGGCCTACAACAAGGGGACACTCAAACTTAATTTAAAAAAAAGCACAGAGATGGGTTTACACATTTATTTGTAAAGGTGAGGCTAGGCCTAAACAAAACATGCTCATTACACTTTTTGAAAAAAATAACTAGATTTAGATTTTAGTCTGCTTAGTTCTGCATATTTGGATATATTTTCAGAATGACCTGCTTTCGAGCCTCTGTTTGAATCAACATAAGCTGCTGCTGGCCACGCCCCCCGACTCAACATTTACACTTGGCACTTGAAAATGGCTGCAAACAGATGCACCATTATACAACTGCGAATTTCTGAAAAGTAGAATTAGAGCCTCCAACACAACCAAGAAGGATGCAGCAAAATGTTTCTGGATGGTAAGTCAATAATGAAACACTTGTGTTTTCTAGCAGCGGTTGTCCAGCGCATGTAGCAGGAAAACCAGCTAACTAAACATCCTGGAGCTCTACTTGGGATGCTTGGTGTTGAGCTGGGCTCGGTGGTGTTCATCAAATATGACTTGTCGGACGGTTTTTGAAATTGCTTGCTTTCCAGATACCAAAAAACATTTACTTATTACCAAGAAAAGCCTGTGTGGGTTTTTTAAGTGCTTGAACTTTTTTTTTTTTTTTTTTTTTAAAGAAGTTGAGACATAAACGGAAGCATTAAAATGTACAAGTAAATGTAGCATAGTAGGCCTCCTCTAAATTAGAAACTAATGCTCGTTCAGGCATATTTGGAACTGAAAACTGGCAAAAAGAGATCCATGTTTGAATAAGTGCTCTCATACCTGCTGACCCCGCAGCCCGGCTCTCTGTCTTGGTGGACAGCTTTCTGTTTCTGAGTTTTAACAAACTGCCTTATGTAAGAATCTGCTCAACCACAGCAGAATGGGAGCTGACATTTCAAAGCACTGGCCTGTGGCCTGTGTGAATGCACCAACCTAACATTCTACCTCGGCTCCATTTATCACGTTTAACAAACGTCTGACAGAGTGAAGGCCGTCCGTCATCACCGAGAACCACCCCCTCCAGCCGCTTCATTCACGGCTTTTCGTCTTCTTCCCCGTCTTTCTGTCTGACAAAGCCGAACCCGGTGGAGTCTTGGCTTCAATCGACATATGTAGCTTTTCCCCTTGCTGAAACTGCAGGGACTTGCCCTTTTCAAGCGCAGGAACAACAGACATGACTCTCCTGCAAGGGGGTTAACAGACTTCCCTGTTGGGTGTCGTCATGTTAAATGCGGATTTCAGGATGTGGGCTGGGTTTTTATGGAAGGCACCCTGTGGCCTCGTCCTTTAATACCGGCAAATCTTTCTGGCAAAGAAAGATTTGCCAGAAAGTGAGGATAGTTAAGAGTTACTTCCAAAGCAAGGGATGAATTGTTATTAATTAACATAAAATGTGTGTAGCCCTATTTAGATTTTCCAATTAGTCATGTAGAAGTACAGGCTCACAGCAACAACTTGACTTTTTATAAAACTTCTGCAGAGGTTTCCTTAAAAAGTAGGATCTTAAGTTCCTTTAACATCTTGCAATGATAGATCTTCAGAGCAGATGTGGAAACCACAGAAGTAAATTCTGCTGAAACGTGTTTACACTACAGATATGCAGAGGAATTGGCTGGTGTCCCCAAAATTAGCAAAGTTTTAGTTCAATCAACTTTAACAACACTCTTTAGTGTGGATGTAGTTACCGAGTTAAGGAAGCTAACTTAGTTTAAAAAGTTTATTTCAGTATTAGTAAGGTAATGTAAGAAGGACGACAGCGATGCAAAAAGATATTTAGAGGAAACTGTTTTCTCTAACATGTTTAAACATGTGTGCAGTTCATTCAGGCTGTAGGAGAGAGATAGAGCAAGATTAGCAACAGGAAAGCTGACAGGAAACAGGAAAGCTGAACATAGTACAGCAACATTTTTATCCTTTTTTTAAGCTTTTAATTTCTGCCATGCAACAACACTGGGTTTGGAAAGGTTGACAGCGTCTTCAAAATCTTAGCTATACTTAGTTATACTAGCTGGGCTGACTGTGCAAATTGCCAAAATTAGATGTTAGTCAGTTTGAATTTCTGGTCTCCAAGTCAATGAATGTCTAATTCTCTGCAGAACTTGATGGCAAACTGAGGTTATAATTTAACCACTTAATGTACGTGTTTGAGGAGAAATACATCTTAAAGGTGCAGAACAAAAGCTCTCGAGGACAGGCACTGGAGGCCCATGGTTTGACCATTAACTCTATTTATCTTTTAAAATAATAGTAGAATGCCGTTTTACAGTGCAGTATTAAATATGCAACATACAGTAGTTGTTAAACGAGAGATCATATGACCGAATTGTACAAAAACCTGAGTGGAAATGTAGTTTTAAAAAAACAGATATACACAGATATTCAAATTAAAAGAAAAGTAAATATTTTACATTTATTTTTGCATGCTTTTACATAATTAGTTTTATACAGATCAATTTTAATTGCGATCAAAGAAATCCAAAAATACTTACATTCAGACTGTCTTCATTAATCACCAGCATGCCCATGTTCTTTGTAAGAAGTTTGCAGGAATGTCCTGTAGGATCACAGAAAGAAAAAAAGAAAAAGAAAAACATGTACTGAAGCTTTTTGATATATTACAAAAGACCGAGAGGTCAGGAAAATCATTGCATAGGTCATGTATTATATGAAAGGCATAAAACTACAAAAAGGAGAAAATTAAACAGGCAGTAAAAATCTAAATGTTACAGCTAGCCGAAAACTCCAGTCTTAGGACATGACTAATGAGTTTGGTTTACAAGAGTTTGTCAGTTTCCTGTTTTAACAGGCAGTTACAACTCTGGGTTACCCAACATGGCTCTCTGGGGAATGATCTCTACAGTGCTTGGCCGGGACACACACTCAGGGTCACCAGCAAGTGGTGGATGGAGCCTCTCATTGGGGGGAAAACAGAAATATTTCATGAACCAAGACTAAAGCCTTCACTTTAACGCTGGGGCTGCAGGAGAAAACTGCCATCTGTGGGCATAACCACATACATATTTGAGGGCTTCAACACTTTGCTTCTGTCTGGAAAGAGATTTCAGTCATTTTTTTTTTTTTTGCTAAAAAAATTACCACATAACCTGTCTTATGAACAAGTGGGTGGCATTTTCTGAGAGTGAAAATGAAATAAGCATATGAATAAACAACAGTGCGTGCACACAGAGGAAATGAACATGTTTCAGAGCTAAGCTCAAACAGGCTCGGGTCTGGGGTCTAGCAGATTGTTTTCTTAAGTGCAAAGGTGCAAACGTCCAAAAATTTGCCAGTGTGGAAAATGTCTCCCCATCTCAACACCGTCTCTGTTCCCTTCCCCCACTCGTCAATTCTTGACACAACCCTTCCGCCTAATGTGTTTACCTTTTAACTCATTTCACTCTTTTTTTTTTTTTTTTTCATAGTTAAATACTTGAGCCCCTTTCAATTCCAGGAGGAACTAAAGACCGTTCTGGCAGGCCTCGAGGAATGCATAACGACACTCACGCCACAGCAATCTCAGCTGCACAAAGGAAGCAAGATTTAATTCTCAACAGTACCTCAACAAAATAATATCCTTTGAACTTCTTCACATTTTATTAGGTAACAACCTCAAACCTCCGTGGACTTTACTGGTGTTTTATGCGACAGACCTACATAAAATACCAGTAAAGTGGAAAGAATATGAAAACTTGGACATCTTCCCAAACCAACCAGGCTTTCTAGTCAATCAAACGAGAGTTTGATTAAAGCGGACTAAACAGGGTTGATATGAATGCACCCAGAAAGGCATTTCATTTTGCGTCTCTCTGCTAACATGACTGATCAAAATAAGGGTTAAACCTGCAATGTATTTACAGAGAAAGCAGTAGAAGGCTGTATTTCTGGAGAAAGAAACATTGCTCTTTTATAGAACTAGGCCAGATTTAAAGAAAAGCTCTCTTATGATACATCCAGATACACAAACTCTGCAGGAGTTATTTGTAATAAATCAGCTGCTTGGGTGGTGTAGGCTTCATCCAACTGTTAACACAAATCTTGAGCTGCATCACCAGTTTCATTTGGAATATTGTACAGAGCGCCGTTTCGCTGGCAATGGGAATAATGTTTCAGTGAGGAAAACAGTAAGAAATAACATAAATACTGAGCAGAGTTTTTACAGAGCAGCTCGGCCAAAAGGTTGGGCTGTGAAAATGCTTCCAGTGAGCATTAGCCTCAGCTGAGGCCCCTCACATCTGGGCACAGTGGGCACAAAAGGCTGATTCAGTCAGGCCTCAGTGGTAGGTGCAGCCGCAAAAACGAACCCACTTTTCAAACCTATTTTTCTAAACTTTATGCTACCGAGTTGGCTGTATTCAAGGTTGATCCACTTTTGATAGTCATCCACTTCCGTGATCCCAGGGCAAACAAGGACGTGAACTACAAACTGAGACGGCCAGGCAGCGTTGGGCTGTTTACCTTCCAGATAACATCTGCAACAGTAAAATCTCTGAGGAAGTGAGATGTAGAAGAGGGGCCTGCTTGAGTACATATGCATGGCCTTTATTTCACGTCAACGTAGGGAGCTCATACATCATCCTGCAACAGATGCTTTCATTAAATGTGTGTGACACAGCAACATTGAGCTTATCCGGAGTTTATCATGCAGGGTGAGGAATGACTGCAGGGCCGACTGGAGTATCTGTACCAGGGAGGCGCACAAACGCAGCGAAAAGCGTCCTGATGCAGGAACATCAGGAGGAAAAAAAGCATCTGTACTGCTAACAGCTTTGCAGAGTCTTGCACAATTTATGAGTTTTTCACCTTTACTCATGGTACAACCACAAAAGGTCAATGTGTTTTATTCAAATTTTAAGTATTGAACCAGAACGAAGTAGTGCAAAATGACAAAGTGGATTTTTTTTTTTTTAAAGAAATTTGCTTTTTTTTTTTTAAATTTAGCTCTCTTAATATAATACTGCTGAATAATCAGCAGAAGCACAATGGCCTTAGAGGTTTTAAATATAGCATTAGTGTAAAAACAAAGTAACTGTTTAAAGAAAACCTCTTTGCACTTTGGCATAATCCATGACAGGACACAAAAAAAAAAAAAACATGTGGAAGAGGCCGGTCTGGTCAAATAAAACCAAGATTGAGCTTTTTGCCTCCATACAAAACACTCATTGTTTGTGAAACTAACAGCACATTACCCTGAATACAATGTCTCCTCCTTGCACCATGGAAATGGCAGCATAATGCTGTGGGCATTGACAAAAATAAACTGGTCAGAAAGTGATGGGAAGATGGTTGGAGAAATGCTGCTTAATTCTGGAAGAAAGCCCTAAGTGTAATGCAAAAGCTACAATGGAAAGACTGACCATTTTTATGTATTAGAATGGCATAGTCAATGTCCAGGCATAAATCTATTAAATTTATATCAAGACTTGAAAATTGGTTTTCACAGATACTCTCCATCCAACCTGACAGAGATTAATAAAAAACATAGGCCAACATTTCAGTCTCTAGATGTGTTAAGCTGCTCTAAAGCACAAAAAGTCTTAAAAAGCTGTAATTAAATGTGAACACACGTATTTATGCCACACATTTCAGATTTGTTCTTTCACAAATATTCACTACATTGTGTTGGTCCACTTGTTAAAGCCCCAATAAAACACATTAAAGCAAGTTAAGAAACATTCAAAAGGAAGGGATTCTTTTGCAGGGCACTGCAGAGGCTTTTACTGTACATGTGTTAACAATTCAAGCAGCAGTTAGTCATTATGCAGCTGGTAGCAGAGCTTAGTTTGTATGAAGCTTAAGTAGTGGCTTCCCTCTGCGTACACGTAGTTGTTTTCAGTGAAAGGGAGAATTAAAACAAACTCTGCTGCAAAGCATGTTTACAAACTACACCACTGATGATTTTAGAGGTAGACGGCACGCCACACTACATGACAGGGAACAGAGAGCAGCGTTCACATGAAACACAAAGCCCTACCAAGTACGTTTTGGTCTTGTTTCTAGTGCAAATATATGATGAAATAAGGCAAAAAAGTAGAAGTAGTGACTTTTCAGCACGATCGGAGCTCGTTTTCAGTAAATAATTCTTTAATATTGATGAAAAAGTACTAGTTCCACTGGCAAATTATTTCAAGACATTTTTCCAATGTTCTAAGTGAAATTATTTCAAGTGTACCAAGATATTTTCGCTAGAAACTAGACTAATAAGTTCGCCGACGTTGCTCACCGATGTTGATGGCTGTTTCCTGTTTGTCGCCCGTCAGGATCCAGATCTTAATGTCAGCCTTCATTAACGTCTCGATCGTTTCAGGGACTTTGTCTTGGAGCTTGTCTTCTATGGCTGTGGCCCCCAGGAGCTGCAGGTTCTACCACAGAGAAGGTCAGAATACATACGAGTAAGTGCTAACCTGGGTCAAAAAGAAATCTACCAACTGCTTTTGTTTACCACCCAGAAAAACCACCATGGGATTCTTAGGAGGTTTTGGATCAGATTTTAAGCGCCTCTAAGTGCGCATTTCTTCACATGTTTTCAGCCCACGCACACACAAGCAGGCCCATAAACACTTTTGGTCAGTTTCTCAGGAAACTGGGGCTCTTTAGGGTTGCTTATGGACTTGTAAGGGCTCATCACAAGACCAAGGATTTGACAAGAGCCAGTGGCAGTGGGGAGACAGAAGCCAGCACGCGAGGAAAGACCAGAGAGGCTCTTTAAATTGAGACCTGAGCCCTAATGCCAGTTTGCGTGCAACTCTGGCCTGCTTGTTTGCTGGGAACAGGAAGCCTGCGGAAGAACCTTATACTTATGTGCGCTGTCATAATTAACTTTTTATATCTGAAATATTTACTTTTTTACTGTGGAAAAGAAGAATTAAGGCATGTACTTCATAAATCGGTTAAAAGCAGTCTGCTGTTTTGGTAAAAAAAAAAGTCGCATTTGTAGTGAAGCACTGAGGCAATAAGATTATGCCTTCATCTGCTTCTGTTCTGCATAAAAAAAGAACTGCAGATTGTAAATGAACAAACTGGTCTCCTACTTGTTGGATCAGTCTACTGATAGTCTTCCTACAAAGTAGCGCCACCTAACTAGTATTTTATTTAGTATAACTGTAAGAAAATGGTCCAAAAATAATGGCTTTAAGCTTTCTGGCATAAATCAATTTGCAAGGTCTAAAACAGACTAAAACAGTCAGGTGCAGTTTAGCTGAGTCCAGGCGTTGCTGTTAGTGGACTGTGCAGCAAAGAGCACTGAAGAGTTTGGGGGAGATTGAGAAGGTGAGCTGCAGATGAAATCAGAGCGAGACGAAGTAAAAGTCACCACCACAAAGACGTACAGAAAATGCAATTTCATTAGCCGTCAGCCATAAACATGATAATTAAGAGAAAGGAACACCAAAAAAAAAAAAAAAAAGAAATCACTGTGTGAATTAAATCTATATGTGCTCGGCTTTTTTTTTTTTTTTTTTTTTTTTTTTACTGAAATAAAATAACTTTTTAATGACATTCTAATTGACTTTGTTTTAAAGCAGATCTCTGTAAAAGTCTATACAGTAACTATGGAACTCTTGCGATCTATAAAATTTGACTGTGGCTCCATTCTGCCCCCTTGTGGAGCTGATTTGTACAAAGTTGAGGTGTGGGTGGCCCAGAGCAGCAGTGAACCCCAAATCGTGGGCAGCCGCAGTGCCACACTCGGCTCATTAGGCAGCGCACATTACATTTTCCTTTTTGAAAGCTTTTATGTTTGGCTCGTGATTGATTGCCTCCATTTGTTTTGGGCGGCCCCAAGCAGCCATGAAGACGAGCCAAAAGGCTGATTTACAACTGCGGCTTCCTGTGTTTGAGAAGCTCTTTCAACACACCAGCCGCATAGAAAACCAACACTACCTGCTGCAGAAACACTTAGATTCAAACCAAAAGGACACATTTCAGAACATCTGAATCTCTGTAGGTATAGCTACACCTGCCTCTCTAGTTACACTTATAATCATCTCCCTATTTAGGTAGAAATGAGTGAAATGCCTTATGATAAAATGTATCTTTTACTGGAGAAGCATATTCTTACACAAACAAAAAATTAACTTTTATCCTGAGCTAGTACATTCTTTGGATTTTTATTTTTATTAAATAATATTTTTAGAAACTAAACCAGTGCTGCAATTATTGGTACCTTCAACAGTTTCTATGAAATAAATGTAACAACGCAATTTTGTAATTGATGCTTTACACCTTAAATTAAGACTTTCCATTCTGTAAAAATATGACACAGAGAATAATTTCATTAAGCTGGTCTTGAAAACGTGAAAGACAAGAGTATCAGAGATCATTTCTCCATGACCTCTTCTATTTCTACATTCAGAGAAATAAAAACTGGATCTGAGACAAACAAGACTGGTAAAGGTCCCAAGTTTATCTCACCACCCTATTCATTGCATCCCTATTCATTAACATGTTTAAATAAAACTCTGGTGGCCAAAAATGAGACGCCATCGGTTCATCCAACATGGCGAAATGTTGACAGATGACTGACCTGTCCTCTCAACAGATACGGACGCCTATAAATGGGGCATAGTTGGGTTTGTGATAAACCCAAGTTAAATTGAACTGAATGGGTATTATCAACAGAAAATCATGACTTAAAAACAATCGGGGCGTTTCTCATCGCAAACCTTCTCTATGAGCTCGTAGCTCTCCTCCAGCTTCAGGGCTCTGTTCTGGATGGCGGTGGAGGCTCGGAGGTGCAGCTCCTGCCAGTGCTGATAGGACGACTCGCTGATGTCTGCCACCGCAAAGCACAGAGTGCGCAGGCCTGGAGGAGTGAACGCAGAATCACAACTTCAAGCGTCAAACATCATAACTTCTTAGCTGGAGATCCAGTCGGAAGCAGTGTCCAATACTCATTCAGATTTTGTCTCCTGACAAACAAGTACTCAATAACTATATGTCCACATTATTGAAGTGTACCATTTGTGGATTTGTGTGCATATCAGTGTTTTCTATGTTTCTATATCAGACCAATGGAGATCTTCAAATTTTTTCCAGATACCTTGTGTTTTTATTTATTTTTATTTTTATTTTCTCATGACTTCACAAAAGATGTCAGTTTTTGAAGTGATGCCTTACAAAACAACTCAGTCTGCCATTCCACTCACAGGTTGTTAATTAATCTGTCTTTTAGGTAGACATAAAAGACTTAGAGCAGCAAAATTTTAGACCCATTTAAATTTAAACCATGAGGGAAAAGTAAATAAATAGTGTCCATTTATACAGTGTATGAAAATAGTTTCAACTGAATCTCTCCCATACAGTGCCAAGAATTGTGGTGATCTGTAGAAAAATCACCTCTTCTTTGCTTTTCTATTTTTTTTTTAAATAATTGATACGCCCCTTTTAACAACTCCTCAGACAAACAGGGACATTTCTGTAGAACAGAGATATAAAAAGAAAACACCACTTTCTGTTTAAACAATATGGAAACTTGCTGAAAAGTGAAAACACATAAAGACATTTACTGATGTCTAAATGCTGTCGAGTCTCTTGATCTCCATGTTCACTAATGTTCTCTAACAGACCTTTGGGACCTTCACAGAAGAGATGGATGTATATGGAGATTAGACTGTACACACATGCTCTCCATTTACTAATTAGATTAATTCAAACCCAAATGGATGTAACTGACATTTGTTCTTAGCCATTTCTAGCTCTTTCTAAATGACAGATCAGGGATCTTCACAGTCCAGCCAGAATGCTATATTTAGCCTACGTCAAATATTCCCAATGACATAATTCTGCTGCTGTTTCACAAGGGGGCAGTATGAACATAGCACATGAGGGGCTCCTTCTGCTGCAGTTTCCAACCAGTTTACAGTTTTATGTTGTTACTCCTCCTAATATTCATCTAAATCAATTATCAAAAGATAGATTAGTGGGAGTGAAAAAAAAAAACCCTCAGTGGGCTGATAGAATAAAACTTCTGATCATGGCCAGGAAGACATAAGCGTCGTCTTCTGTGCATTACAGGCTAGCTGAGACAGGGGGCAGTATTTCTCCACTCACCCTCAGTGGCAAACTGCTCCAGGTGCTTTAAGGTGATCTCTTTGTACCTTGAGCTGTCGGCCAGCCGGTCGTAGATCACAGTGTCCTGAAGGGACATAAAAACTCATTGGTTAGAGAGGGTAGAGGCAGTAACCGGCTGAAATCGTTTGCGTTGTTAAATGGAATCCGTTTCCATTTCTCATCATATGCATGGATTTTCGTGATCTTCTTGATTATGTGCTCCAGCTATCAAAACTAAATTCAAACATTTTATTCTCGGTGTTATGCACCAAAAGATTTAGAAGGTCCCGCCGACTTGTACCACTGCAGATAAAACCCAACATTTCTGTCTGTCACACTGCACATGTATAACATGAAGCAGCCTTTATCCTGATGCTCAAAGAAAGACTTCCTAATGTGAGGGAGAGGCAGAGCGGGGAGAGTGGCGATGGTGGTGTTGGGCTGTCATGTGTTGCCATGGAGAGAGACAGACTCACAGCTCCTTTGCAGTAGAGGCGAATCTTGCCAGATGGGGTGCGCATGATGACAGACATCCTCTTCCTTGTGCTGCACAACAAAAAGCCCAAACAGGACGGTGAAAGTGAAGAAAGCAGGGGGGCGGAGGGGAGAAGAATCTCAGTGTGAAATAACAGTAGCATTTAAAAGAAAGGACATACCTTGTAAACTCCAGCACATGAAGCAGTTCATACTTTTCTTCTTTTCCAGGCTAAAAAAAAATAAAATAAAATGGAAAAAAAGAGAAAGATTTAAGCGAAATGCGAGTTTAGCAAACCAATCCAATGGAGACTCCTTCATCTTTGTTTTCTGTCTGAGCTTTCGTTAAATGGCACAAGCCAACCCTTTCTCTTCATTTAAATCAGCCGTAACTGCAGTTTAAAAATATTCATCAGTTGCCTTCTGATGGCAGAAGAACAAGGTAAAATTCAATTAGCCTCCTTAATTGGGAAGACTGCAAGGTGAAATATCCTGAGACCTTTAGAAGCTCTAATGACGATGAGAAAATGGAACAAACATATACGCCACAAGAGGATTAAAGAAAGGAAACCGTTCTGGCTTTTGAGCCTCGGGGCCTGTTAGTGCAATTATCATGTTTGCCACTTAAGCTAACAGCTCCAAATCCACAGTATTAATAACGGTAAAACAAACTGGACGGCTCCCGAGTCCCACAGTGTGGTGTTCATGTTTACCGTCACAACAGTGAATCATGAAAACGGTGTTATATACATTCCCTGTTTCATCCATCAACACAACAGCCTGCTTCGCTTTCCTCAGCTCAGTCTCGACTTACCACTTCCACAATCACGCTGTCAGGGGTTCGTCCAGAAAACACAAAGCCGAGGTTTCGAGCGGCTCTCACCAGAGCGCCTTCGTCTTAAAAGAAAATAAAGAAGAGAAAAACGTACCATGAACAGACCTGTTGACATATTGTTGCCCTTAGACAACTTGGAATTTGAGCTTGACATTCTAAAGAACTAACAGCTTACACATAAATCTTCTCCCCGTGGAAAAAAAAACAAGAATAAAGACAAACTTAATATAGGGAATAGGTAATTAATGCTTAAGAAACTGCAGTGTAATACAGTCCAGTATAGAAGCGTTTGTACCAACGCTGCACAACATATGAATGTACTGATAACACAGTTGCAAAGACACTTGGAATGCATTCATTGTTGGTTATTATATTCCAAGGGTAATGAATTAAGACAAAACAATGTTATATTTTCTCAGTTGGATGTCTTGCTGCAATTACTGCTGTCATCTGACATAGATAATGGCACTCAGGGGGCTTAAAGGTCACAGAGAGAGTTTGAAGCATCACATTAATAAATCAGAAAGACAGGAAAATGTGGATCTATCCCAGCTGAAGTCATCATTGCCATATTCACCAAAAAAAAAAAAAAAAAAAAAAAAGAAGAAGAGGAGAATAGAAACGGCACACAAAATATCAAAAAGTGCTAAAAATACATTACATATAAACAGATTTATAATAGTATATTGAACAAATATTGCTATTACTTAATGTTCATGTTTTGTCACACAAATCCATAAACATCAATGTATTTTAATGGATTCTATGTGGCAGAATAATACAAAGTGGTGCAGAATTGTGGACTAGTGGGAGGGAAATGGAAACTTTTTACAAATTAAACTCTATTTCTGTGTATTGATATTCAGCCCCCCTCTATCGATAAATACTCCAGTTTAGCTGGAGATCCTTGTGTTGATAGATTTGCAGTTGTGCTTGTGTGTTGGTCCAAAATGTAAAAAAAACATTTGAAGGGATTTGTATTTTTTGTTGCCAAGTTTAAACTTTTGCTGGATTTTACGGTTAAGAATCAGCTAGATTCTTAACCGTAAGCATTTCCTGAAATGTACATCCAACTGCAAAGACAAAATGCTGTTACACTGACAAAGTAATGCAGATGCAGGCTTGTTTTGCTTGTCTATTTCACTGTAAATACTTTAAGGTTTTCCTCTTTCTCTAGTGTTCGTCACGGTGGCAGTTCTGTGGAGTTAAAAGAAGCGCTGAAGGGCATGTTTTCCTGACTGACAGCTTTCTCTATTCATTACACTGAACTGTGAATGTGTGAGACTGAGGGATCATGCTAAGGCTAAAGGAATCAAAAGTGACATACACCATGCTTTTTGTAAACAGGAGACTGCATTTTATAGCGTGATCTTGTGCTCTTAGGATTATATAAATGCACTACTACATTCATATGAGATACAGGGGCCAGAAGGCTGCAACAGATTGTTCCCGTTGCCCAGGCTCACAGGTCGCTACACGGAGAATTAAACATCAGAGAAACGCTTCAAGGACATCGTTTTTATTCAAACCACCTAAAAGCAGGTTCAGTATTGCTTGTTGTGTAGTTTCAGAGGATGCATACAGCAGCAGTTTGGGATTATAAATAGATGAAATGTGTCCTAAACAGTGTTTTGAATGTGGACATGTTTTTTTTTTGTTTTTTTTTTATTATTATAAACTTGTAAAATGTTGTAGGAAAAAATATTGAATGTTTACAACAAAGATAAATCCTGAGTTTTTCAGTTAATTTAACAACAGAACAGAGCCATTTGGTATGCTGGGATAATATACCAGAAGAGGACAGTAAGCTGTAATACCTGGAGAAGCAGCTTGGTAGTTGATTTTTCCATCCACGCGCTCAGGGACTGCAGTGTGACAGATGGCCATCATGGTCATGAACTCCAGAATAACAGCAGCTGTAGGCTAAAGACAGAAGAAAAGACAGCTTTGACTTTTAATGTTCTTAAATAAAACATGTTAACAGAAGCCAAACGACCTTGTTCTGAGGTGGAAGAGAGGCACAGAGAGCTCCGATTGAGAGACACATCGACATGAAGGAGACATTTTAGACATCTAGCTGATTCTTAACCGTAAAATCCAGCAAAAGCAGCAAGTAAGAGCAATACATGGAAAAAGGGGTTTTATTAATTATTTGCTGCAGATCAGGATGAACTGGAAGTTGACATTTTGACATTTAAGCAATGAACGGTGAGAGAACTGCTTCACTGGTAAAGAAAAACAGAAACAGAAACGTTACTTAAAATTTGAACTGGAAAATAATTACATTTCAAAAATACTATTTAATAAATGGTATTTATAGTTCCTTGTGTTTGCATTAAGCATACTAAAAACAACTTTCCAGTGCAAACAGCTATAAATAAATGCCAAAATTTTAGATCTTTACTCATAAAAATTATTTCACTTTACAATCATGAAGTATGTTGTGTTGGTCTGTCACAAGAAACCCTGTAAAACAAAGTGTTTCATATTGTTCTGTGACATAATTTGAAAAAGTTTCAGTTACTTCAAAGTTGAAGTATGAATACTTTTGCAAAACAATGCAACACCTTTCTCTGTTTTGCAGATTTAAACCAAAAACTATTTCCATCCTAATAAATCTATCCATCTTAAATCAAACCTAGAACCAGTTTTCAGTTTGCAAAAACACTAAAATTATCTAGTATTTCTTTTATATTACACTCTTTCATTTTTTTATACATTGGCCATCAAGTCTATTATGAACAAAATCGCTCCAGTTTGCTAGAATGTCACCATTTCCCTTTTTCCTTTGAAAGGCCAGCCCAAGGTGTGTGTTACCATCTTAAAAATATGTGGTGTAAGATCTGAAGTGTCAGATCTGATCGGACAGATGACAGCTGGTAAGGAGCCAATAGGCTCACAGAACTCGCCTGCCGGATTCAAGCTACTGACACACATTTAGTCATGCTTTTCCAACCAATATAAACTTGTCTCAGTTCATGGGGGGGAGGCCAACCTACATACTCAGGGCATTTACATTAATGAGAAGACCAGTATGACTAAGCTGCCGTGGGGTGGACTCAGACAGGCATCTGCTGAGGCTCCAACTAACGCCGAAGGACTACCAGTGTGGAGTCAGTGACTACAACTGAGCCAGGGATATTAGCAGCCTCCAGGGCCGCAGAAGGCCATCGTATTACAGCAGGGGTAAAACAAAGACAAAAACATATATATTTCCTAACAATGGACTAATATTAGCTCACCCTGCTGCTTTACCATCTCCACGAGAAATGAATGCAGCTTTCATAAGGCTCCTGGAACGGAATATAAAGCCGCTGTTAAACATGCACTAATCACTAACCTTTAATTATGCTTTTAAAGTGTATGAATCTGTGAAGTGATTATCTTAAAAAAGTGCTTCTTTCACTCTCTTACTTAAACACAAAGCTGTGTACTTGACATTGTTAGTAGATTTGTTCTGCTGGCCTTGAGAACTATGATGAAAGGAGCAAGGGAGAAAATAAATGATAGGGACACAAAAGGGCAAATCAAAGGGCCACTTGTGAGTGAAAATACACAGAGTCTATTACAGTCCAGGTGGCACTGAGAGTCCCCTCTGTCTCCTGGCAGCATGCTAATCTGGTCTGGGTTGACAGGTATCCTCTGAAGGACATGTGGATGTGTGTGTGTAGGAGGGAGGGAGGGGGAGAGAGAGAGAGAGAGAGAGAGAGAGAGGGAAAGAGAGAGAGAGGGAGAGAGAGAGAGAGAGAGAGGGAGAGAGAGAGAGAGAGAGCGAGAGAGAGAGATGGAGAGAGCGAGAGAGAGCGAGAGAGAGAGAGCGAGAGAGAGAGAGAGAGATTTTGTGTGTACTAGTTTAAGAGCTAGTACACAGCTAGCTCTGTGTACTAGCTGTGTACAGCTTTAATTTAATTCCTTTAATTTTAAAGGAATTAAAAAATTCCTTTTTTAATTTATAAAAAAGGAAAAATTAGGTCTTTGTTTAAGAATCTGTATTATTATCCCTAACCTGAATTTACACAAGGTTGTTGGTAATGCTGCTTGGACAAATGGTAATGAAACCATCCCAATACATCTATGCAATAGATCTGATCAATTCTCAAACTGAATTCTGGGTAACTTGTGCCACAGCAGTAGTGAAAGACTCATCACTTCAGACTTGACCAACGTGCAAAGAGGCTGAAGGGTCAGGAGAAAGTGAAGAGGAGAGCTAGTGAATAAACACTCAAAATGGTGAAACTCGGCAGACAGCAAGTCCAACATAAACATCACTACAAGGTGCTTCATTTTATCAGAACTGTTAACTCTCCCCTTCTCCTGACCTCCTCACCACGGTGTCAACATTATGACTCCAAACAGCCTCCAGACATGTAAAACTGTGAGCAATGTTCCAGCAACAATCCTCATCACAGCCTATAAGTGTTTGCAGAGTGAAAGTTCTAGGCGTGAAGTGAATTCAGCACTGTCATGCAAGTGCCAGTGATATTTTAGTACAGTGCTAAGTGAGCTTTAGTGTCAAAATATATTTAAAATAAAATGTTACCTTTTTTGTGGCTTATAAATATATGTAAAAGTCAGGAAGGACTAGGAATCACTAGATGTTAGAGTAAAGACCAATCAGAAACAGCCATCTTTACTAAAGGCACACCCAGAAATCAACAATTTTCTGTTAGAAACTAATTAAACTAGGGAAAATAAATAAATAAAAAAGATGGTCTTCTGCTGCTGTAGCCCATCCGCTTCAAACTTTGACATTTTGTGCAATCAGACATTGTTTTATATGCCATGGCTACAGACTGCGATTATTTGAGCTACTATTGCTTTTCTGTCATCAGAAACCAGTCTTCCCATTACATTCCAACACCTATAAGGCCCTTTTGTTCACACAACTACCCATTCTTTTTTTATTTGGGACCACTCTCTGTAGACCTGAGAGATAATTTTTTTCATTCTGAAGCTCAGTTTGCACCATAAAACGTCAACTTCACCACTTCTTATGCTTGGGCTGCTACCATCTGATTGGCTCATTTGCCATTGGTGCTCACAGGCAGAATGACAGATGTACCCAGTAAAGCAACTGGTGAGTTTTGGGATTGTATTTAGCAAATAAAGAAATATTAGGTGTGAAAATAATGGACCGCAAAAGTGCTACGATGTTAAACACCATTCACAGTTAATCACCTAATAAGAATTCCTGCTTCAGCACAACAGAGTAATCATGAGCAGAATTAATACCGAAGCCGCAGAGAGACTGTGGTTTTAAAACAGCGGTGGGTAATTAGCAGTGGGCGAGGGCCTATCAACACAGAGCCGGAGCAGACCTTAGACAAACCCAATGTGTGAACAGATTCTGCTGTCATAACAAAGCAAACATCACAGTGGGATTACCATTTTCCCTGAGCAGAGATACTGTACATAATTAGATCTGACATTCTGCCTCCTCAACTCTGCTCTGCAGCTGAGTGACTCACAAGCAACACAACCACAGTCTTCACCCAACCTACTGTACGTCTGCTAATGGTCATGAAGGCTTCCCTTATTTCACATCGAGAGTGTCTGGTAAATTTTAGGATAAATTTATCTTTCGCTGATCTCCTGGGCGTTGTTGAATATTTACAGTAACTTTAAATACAGTCTAAAAAAAGGTGTAACTATACTAATATTAAATACTTGTGTTCCAAATATACAGAACTGTAAGCAGGGATTGTACATTTCTCCCACAGCATGTCTAAGGTAAGTTTTCAGCAGCACACTAAGGAGATAATACAAATGATATGAAACAGGCAGTATTAGTTTACTATAATATTATATATTTTATTACTATTACAACCTTTACTTCAATACAAATCAATAAATCACTGAGAATTCATAAAGACTCATTACATTGAAACGATTCAAAAAAAAAAAACATGCTAAAGTAAATGACACACCTGTTCAAATTAAATGTTTAATCACAAAAACATCAGTCCCAAAAAAAAAAATCTCTGTAAAATATTCATTGTAAGTTTTCTGCCATTTAGCAAATGCAAAAAAAGTTGGTAATTCTAACTGACTTAAAACAAGAACACTCATTGAAGTTCAATGAGATGTTTTCTCAAGGATTTCAAGCAACCAAACAAACTATGTATAAGAGCAAAAAACAACCATGTGACCATATGGAATCCTTAGTAAATTACACCAACACACATGCCAAAACACCCTACTCAAAAAGGCAAGGAACAAATTACACAACATCTAAGAGTTGGACTCAAAATCCCTTTTAATTTGTCCTAAGCAGCAGCAGTCAGTGGAGGCAGGCGACGGGGATCCGTGGCATTACTTACGTGATTGTTTTGGAGGTTTTCCAGTAAGCTCTGGTCATTAAATCCAGCCTCCTCTGATGAGTGTGTGCTGTGCCTGGAGAGAGGCAAAGGGGAAATGTCGGCTCACTAGAACACACTTTGATAGAGCAACAGAACAACACTAAAAGCGGAGTGGAAAGTTACCAAACAATAGACTTGACTGGTAAATAACAGATGAGCGGTAAACATTACAATCAAGGTGCAATTTGACGGCAATGAAGATGACGACAAAAGAATAAAGGCAGTAGCAACTGGAAATTATTTCTTCTGGTGGTCCAACAAGAACTTTTGGATTTCCCCAAAATTTAAGTTATTTTATTTCCTGCTATTGCACCGTCAGAGAAAATTATTTTAAAGGCAGATCAAACTCTTGTCCACATTTTTTTTCTGAAAACCTAGAAGTTATACAAATATCTCCATCAACTTTAATTGTAAACATTAACAGTGCATAGTGTGGAAAAAACTTGAGTATCATTCATATCTTAGTTTCCCAGAAACTACACAGTATCTTAGGTTTAAAAACTAAAGAGCACTTCTAAAGAATAACTTAAGAATAACATATGTAAAGGCAGCACCATATGACACCTGTGGTTGCAAAAGAAACATGTTCTCCAAAAGTCTGAGAGAAAAATGACCCTGCTTCTCACTTGATTTATTACCTAAGTGCTGACAGATCTCTAAGAGTTAATAGCGCAGTCAGTGCTGTGTGCCAGCAGTATTGACATAAACTGAATCAACTACATTGTAGGCAGAATGCAAATGTCGGGTTCTTGGGCTTCAAGAAAGCAATGTTTAGAGCAAATACTTGGGATTGTCTCCTCTTTGCCAGAAGCGGATAATTCTGAAAACAAAGCCCTGATGTGAAAGATTATTATTTTATAAAGAGTCCACGCTCAAATGTTAATCTCTGTTTTCGTGTAAATGGCTAATTACTTCTTGACCTGGCTTATTCTGGTGCATTAGATAAATTAGAATATGAGAAAAGTTAAATGATTTCTGTAATTCAAGTCAAGCTCATTTTATAAATTAATTACACACAGAGTGATACATTTCAACCACTTATTCCAATTAATTTAGATGATTAGCACTTACACTGCTAATGAATATTATAGGAGACCAAAAGAAGGATTTTTAATACAGAAGTGTTACGTGATCGGTGACAGTAAAGCGAAGGATTGCTGTTGCAGTTAGACTAAGAAGTAGTAGCAACCAGAGTGTTGCAACCAAGAATACTTCTGGAAAGTTGAGTGGAAGTTGAGTTGGTCTGTGTACAAGCAACAAGGATTTTATTTTTTAAGCTAAACTGAAATCTGGCTTCTAAAGTCTCATGGCATGATTCCCCAGTAAACCCAAACAAAGACACTTGGTAATCTTTTTTTTTTTTTACAGTAATTAAATTATATGTATTTTGTTAATTTACTTGTTTAGGATTTAAAACAGAAAGCTAAGGACTTGAGGCTTGACTAAATGTTTACGGAAAGACTTGAGACTAACCTGTGGCAAGTTCAACGTAATATTCTACTCATCTGAGAAACTGAGTTTGGGGACCCTGGTGATGAGTTTTAATGGCAATAAATTACTGAAATACATTAATATTATTGCAATTTATTGAGACATATGTTTTCTAAAGAAAATTGCAAAATAAGGGTTGCTGATTTCATATTTTTGTAAGAAACAAAGTGTGTTTTTTCATCCTTGTAACATAAGGGAAGTAAATTTAGAAATAGCCACTAGTCTCCCACTAAGTCTCCAGCAGGGATCAATCTGACTCTAGGATAAATAGAGTCCTATAGATCAGGCAGACAGCAGCGTTGCCCATAGCACCGAGTTTGACTGACAGTTTACAGAGGCTGTTGTTACTCTTTCTAATCCAACAGGATGAGGAGTACAGAACCACGAAAGTCAACCTGATAGCCAGCTTAAAAATTAAAGGAGGAGACAAATTTAGGGAAAGGATAATGATATATGAAAAATGAAGACTCCTTATATAACATAAACTAGTGTTTGGGAAAGCTATCCATGCTCAGGTCATTGAATAAAGGTTTACTTCATAAAAAAGCCAAAATGTGCCATTTCTTTCCTCACATGTTTTCTATCATTATATGATACAAATAGAGCAGCTTGCCACGTCTTTTGTCTCAATGAAATTTGCTAGAAGCTAGACTGGGTGAGAACAGATCGAGATATTGATTATCCGCCAGCACGCTCAGGTCCTGTCGCTATGGGAACAAGGGTGAAGGCAGTTCATTGTCAATAATCAGGGATCCGATGTAGATCACAACTTTCACACACCCCGCTGTCCTGTTCCAGCTCTGAGAGGAAATAACTCATAAGCGAACTTACTGGTTCGCTTGCTTTTTTTGAATGTTTCAATTTTAAGAAAAAGATCAGTCAAGAAATTGTCTTTGGAGGAAGCCTGCAGCAAGTATATTTAACAGACTGAAATCCTCCTTAGAATGGATAAGGCAAACCCATGCTGGAAATATATGAAAGAGAGGAGGCTATAAATATAAGTGGCAGCCACTGTCAAAGTCAAACAAATGTTAACATGCCAAATGAAAACCACAGTTTCAGCCTCAATAACTACCAGTGAATGTTTTTTTTTTTTTTTATGATAATTGTTTTATCAAATCAGACCTGCAGATGTATGCATGCATTAAGCAAAATTACACAGTTTGTTCTTAAAGAATTGCCACAAATATTAACCATAATCATCTGTATCACAACAGATATACATGGTGTTAAGAGTCACAGTCACACACAACACGTCCAGAGAGTACTGCACGGCCACAGAGAGGAATCACACACTGAGGTATTGTTTTCAAAGTCACCATCTCAACAAGGCAATGCAGCACTAATACATCACAAAGGCAGGGAGAACAGCCATTTTTTTGCTGTTGTTGTTTTTGTTTTTTTTCTCACACCAATCATCTTACCAGTCTTCTTCTGCAAAACTACCCTCCTCAGCTTCAGGGACATGGCTGCTGGAGCGAAGGTGGGAAAAAAAAAAAATAAAGCATCTTGATGACAAAGTGTTTGGTTAATGTGTGTGAATGTTCAGGCGCCAGGACTGGAGTTAAAATGAGGCTGTTAAAGTATCAGAGGTCAGTCAACTTACTATGCTCTCTAATTAAGTATTCAGATGCACCACATTGATTTTACTGCAAGGGGCTACACACAAGCAGCACTACATTTAAATAGCAGCTGGGAATAAAGAAGAAGAAATGCAGGAATGGCCTGGTGGGTGGTAGCTGTTTCAGAGGGGCGTTCTATAAACCAGGAATCTTCTCTATGCCTCAAACCGCCCTGGCCTCAAAGCATCCAATTATCATCCTTTACACACGCATGTTTTCTCTGACAACTGAAAGCATTGGTATTCAGCTCATGTTATGTATTCAATGTTGCAGCTCCTCGAAACTAGAACAGTACACCAATCAGGCATTAAATTATGACCAACTGCTGAATAATGTCCTTGTCCCACTTTCGCTGCTGAAACAGTCCTAACTTGTTGAGAAAACATGTTGTGGGGCCCCAAGAATGGGACTAATCTGGCACAACAGCATTTTTTATTTATTTTTTTACATTAATATAAAAGAAAAGTCAGCTTTTGATTGTTCAACTCAGCTTTAGTCTTTGCTAAAGAAACAGTATTAACAACAAATAAATCTGCACATTTTTGGCGTCAATTTTTTTTTTTTTTTTTTTTTTTAAATCAACCTTACATTTGGCGAGTTGGGATTTTAACTCATATATATGCTTTCACTAAAGTCCAGACACCCCAAAGGGTTCAGAGAGACATTTTCTTTAAATCCAACATCATTTCTCCTTCAGACTTGAACTCCAATCCAGTGGAATTAATTAATGTCTACACCCTTGGGCATGGCTTTATTAATTACAGCAGTACTTAATTTGTGGTGAAGCGCACACGCAGGCGGCGGTGTCAGTGGGGGTTTTGTATGTGCGCCGAGACAAAATTTACAAGTCACGCTACTCAGTAGGAGCTAAGCACATGATTTCACATTTATTTTTGATTAAGTATGCAGTTTTTCTGTCTTTGCATTTCCTAAAACACTTCCCCATTTTCCCTTAATTGAGTGCAACGCTCTAAGGTGGAGTCAAATGCTTATATTTGCTGGTATGCTAATCTGTCGATTTTATAATCATTTCCAGATTGATAGATTTATTAAATCTATTACAAGAACACAAAGGAGCTACTATGTGGTTTTCTGCAAACTACGATTCAGCATTTTTTTTTTACCACTCTGTTTTAGTTTGAGAGCCTAAAAGGGCGAATAGAACCAAACATCAGCAATTGTTCCCGCTGATCAATTGTTCATCGATGCACAAATGAGTCCTTACTGAAGAGATACCAATTTCAGAGATTTAAAAAAAAAAAAAAAAAAAAAAAAAAAAAAGAGGAGGAAAGGCAAAGAAAAACAGCCAGATGATGAAACTGGCCTATTTTCAGCTTGACCTGCTGCGACTTGCTGGTTAGAAACTCAAATATCCAATCACAAAAACACACTATGGTGTACGAGCTGTCACTTAGGGAACAGGGCTGAAAGTTAGGTACTGTCAACATCACTGGGCAGTTTAAAATGAAGACCGAGGCGCCACAGAAATGGAAAAAGCTACTTAAAGAGAAACTGTATTTTCGACATGTCAAGGCCTCAGTGAAAGCCCTGCCACTCCACCTCCACATTCTTCAAATATAAAAAAAAATGGAGTTAGACGTTTGTGCTGGTTTGTCCAGGAAAAATGTTTTTTTTGTTTTGTTTTGTTTTTTTCTTTTTACACCAGTGTAGTTATAAAAATCTTAAAGTTTACAGAAAACAAAAGGTCAACCAGCCTCCCCAACATTACATAAATGCTAAACTTTTTGTTTCTGCTTATTAACCCACATTTTTTACCTTTTGTAGCTAAATTTTAAATTGATGCATCTTTTCACTGCTGCCTAAAATAAAGTCTTTAAGGAAAAAAGAAAGTTTCAATCAAAACACTACTAAATCCCTCAAAAAAGGAGAAAAAATATAAGACATAGATATAATGTAAAAAAAATCTACATCTGTCTGTCCTCTGCATCTATAGTTTTTAAACTGAAATGCGAGCATCAATTTTTCTGTGGCAGCACGTCAACAACATCTTCTCCACTGTAACTCTCGAGAGTGATATTGTTGAGCTCGCCTTGCTTATTCCGAACACTGGGAATGAGCAAGGCGACTTTACAGTGGTTCTAATCACAGCCTAATGGGAGCAAAGACAACCAGATAAAATAATGCATGTTGTCCTTCAGTGTGAACTTCATCAATCACACGTTTTAATTGAATCCTAATGGGATTAATCATGTACTCTCACGCCTGCGCTTGCTTTGCTTCTCTGAAGACACTCAGCTCGCCCACTTGTTTTGTATTTGTTGAAGATAATCACTGAGGCAGAGAATTGAAATCAGAGTAGAAAAAAACAATCCAAGAACTGATTTAATGAAATGTTAAAATGTTGCTAGAAATATGTCATGTCTGGTAAAATAAAAAAAAATAATAATATGAGGGTAATTAGCTTTTACATCAGCATCTATAAAAGGATACAGTACAAACAGGAAAAAAAAATCTAATTTTTGCAAACACCAAAGGGCTGCGAAGACGATGGTGTGAAGAGCCTTGGCTTGCAAAATTCTATCCAGGTTTTATTTATAGTTAACATTCAGAGGCAGAAGAACACCGATGCAGCTGCTAATGAGACGGTGAGGAAGAACAGAGAAATGCCAGATGCACACTGATGCATACCCAGCATTTAATAAAGTCTATGGGGGAGGCAAAGGTATAGGTGGGGTGGAAAGCAGGAAAAGAGAAAGCAGGACATACCCATAGGCCACACCGGCGATGGTGCACTTCTTAAACTGCATCACATTACAGGTCAGTGTTCCTGTCTTGTCAGAGAAAATGTATTTTACCTGTATGGGTAGAAAAAAAAAACGCTTGTGGGTGCACAGTGGATTCTGAAATCCACACGTAAAACTCCTTCAGTCTTCCATAAGAGAAAGACATTTAAGCCGAGTCATTTACCTGGCCTAGTTCCTCATTCAGATTGGACGTGCGGGCCATAGCCGGTGTGTTTGTGGCCTCATACAGCATGTCGGTGTCCTAAAAGGGATCAAAGGCAGCCATTAAAGCAAAAATTCAAAACCTGCTCTGACCTGAAAGGGAGAAGAAAAAAAAAAAAAAAAAAAAAAAGAATAACGTTCCCAGAACTTAATTCTGGGAACGCTGGAGTTTTATTAAGAATGTGAAAACTGACTAAGTATTTGCAGGTTAGCTTAAAAAAGTGCTTCCACAGAAGGAATACTTAGTGGGTTGACCTAGTTAGGAAAATTACCATAAGAACATTTTACATCTTCAGTCATACACTTCAGATCATGTAGGATTGAAGATGCACATATTCTGAGCATTTTTTCCTCAGTGTGCATGACAAGCATACACCTGAAAATCTGTTTGCTGAGGAAAAACATTTCCACGAATGATGGTAGTCTGACAAATTCATTTCAGTTCTGTTTACCATCTGCTTGCTGATTGTACTGTGGAATTGAACCCAAAGTTGTTTTTTTAGCGATGAACAACTTAAAAGGTTTAATTTCTAAATTTCCTTTCTACAAGAAACCAAATAAAACATTAGAAAACTTGAGATGAAATGCGTTTTCAATATTTAACTGAAGAAATAGTGAGAGCCTTCAATGATTTGATTTTGTTTAGTCATGTCAACCTGCAATGTTTAACAATGAGACAAGATGAAAATGAACAGTATTGACTCACCCAGTTGATGAAAAAGGCTTGGATGAATTTGATAACCTCCAGTGTGACCAGGAGACTTATTGGTATCAGGTTGTTGAAAAGGATAATGAAGGTGAGGAAGTTGAGGCCAAAGTTGGCAGCCCCGCCATCTGTCAGGGGAAATGTTTTGGACAAAAAGCAATGAAACAGGAGAACACTCATCAGTCTTTGCTTGGTAATACGAGTTAGTCAAATCAAAATGCCAAAAGGCTACTTCCAGCTGAGGGTCAACATTCAGCCAATCCACAAAGTGCTTTTGGACCAATGTTGAGCATTAGCTGAAAGTGGCCTTTTCTTCCACCCAACCTCATCATTTTTTTTTCTCAACCGATTAGCAATCCAATTCAAAGTCCCAAAGATTTAAGCCTTGGCATCCAGCATGATCCAGGCAATGAATTCTACAAAGCACTATGCAAGAAACGATACTGGTCCCAGCAAAAAGCCCCCAAACAACTGGTAATGACCAACATGTAACCCCACTGACACGAAATATGAAAACAGGAGGGATGTGATTTACCTTTCCTCAGCTTGCAGGAGATGCAAATGTTACCTTCCTCAACCCAAGCCTTGAGCTTAGCTTTGCGATTGAGAGGGCCAGCCCTTCCCCATGACAGAATGATTTCATAAGCAAAGAAAACTACACAACACAAAGGAAGTGGCACAATGGAAAGCTACAGCTACAACACGAAAACAAGGGAATAATGCTTTGTTTTTTGAAGAAGTGAGGAGGAAGACAGACATTTCAGATGCTCTCAAGACAAAGGAGGGAGATTCAGTCCACAGCACATTCTCAACTGGCAAAAAGTGGAAAAGAGAGGGTGGATTGCATCAGTAGAAGTGTAAGTGTGATCGTCATTTCGGTTACTTCAAGTAGCAGGCTCAGTACGATAGAGAGGAATCTTGGCAATAAGTCGGTATTAGATAAAGTAATACTGGACTGAAAGTTGATAGATCAAACCAGCAATTCAGGACATGCAAAGTCAAAGTTAAAAGATGCAAAAATACTGTTGATTCCTATTTTCTTTCATAGTCATCAGAGTGTGGTTACATTAATCTAATGCAATGGTGAAAGATTTGAAGATTTATGTAAAAGTAGAAAAAGGAAATTGCATTTTCTTATTTCATTATTTTAAGTTTTTGAATATAGTTGGGGTGTCACACATTAAAATAGGGAAACATAAATAAATATTCAAATGATTCAAATCACGTTGAAAGCAAAGCTGGGCCAAATATATTTGTGCACATATCTACTATCCAACAATAGTTTGTCCTTAAAACAGAACTAACCTTTATGCTGAGTAAATGTGAAACTATTTGTCTGAAAGTGTGTGAAACTATGCAGCCGATTTTTAAATTTGCAAGGATTCAACTCGCCCTGTTTAAAAACAGCTTAAAGACCCAGACACTGCAACCAGTGTGTATGGACGCGTTTCCATTGCAGGGACCATTTCTGGGACTCTGTCCGTGTTCTGGGTCAAAATGTTCCTCAAAAATGGCCCTCATAAAGAGGAAGGGTTTTTTGTTTTGTTTTTTTTTAAAGGTGGAGCTTCGTAGTACGACGAGGACAAAGGTCACTCTTTGATTGAACATCTCCAGCAATTTATTTCAGTAATCTAATCCTCTGCCGGTTATATTTTCTGTTAACTTTGAATTTCATAACTGGAGTTGTGTATTTTTGCTTGTGAACAACAATAGCTGCCTATGCTGAAAAATCAATGTTTTACAGAGCTTACGTTAAAGCACGTTGATAAAACCCAGCAGCTTTAGTAGAAATTGCTAAGCTTTTTTCTTTTTTAGAGATTTAATTCATAAAATTAAAATATTTTTCAGTTAATACGTTCCGAGATCCAAATTAAAACGATCAAAACTCCCCAGGATTGTTGGTCTTTCTCATATCTAGAGCTTGAACAGAGCAGACTTGTTGCTGCAGTGTTCCTATGTGTCCATGGTCATTCTTCCTACAAAATCAGCAGTTAATTCGAAATCCAGTCCAACTTCATCATCAAAGCTTGGAGAGGCAGAGTGTGGTTTTACAGTATAACCACTATCAAATGATTAATGCTGATTTCCTAGTTTTTTTTACTGAATACCAGACTGAGCTGTTGCATCTCTGCCCCGCAGAGGCTAAAGGAGTTACTGCTCTGATTCGCATGAAAGGCCCAGGTTCCAGTCCCATCAGCTAAAACACACACAAAAAGAAACATAGGTAGTTTAAAAGTTTCACTAAGTAAACTTTTAGGAAGCTGTAGTGGAAACGTGATTTGAGACGTGAGGTAAAGTTCTTGTTGGAAAGCATAGTTTTTTAGCTGTTAGATAGAAAACAAACAATTGCAGCAATTTTAAGTAGTAAAATTTGTAATTGTATTTTTTTTTATTTTATTATTTTCTATTACACTTGCAACTTTAAATTATAATAAATTGAATAAGATTTTTATTATTTTTTTTTATTTTAGGGATCAAGATCTATTGATTGTATAAATTTTCTTTTGATAAATTACACCATCTTCCATGTTAACCACCCAAAGTAGAAAGAAAGGTTATGCATATTTATACTGGGAAGCTGCATCAGTTGTCACAATGCACTAACCCAATCAAATGCAATCACCAGTGTCAGCACTTTTGAACATCTCAAAGTCAAATTTAGCCATTTATTCAACCAGAATGCATAAGCTGGGGTTAGAGTCAGCACTACAGTGACTATTTTTGTCCGCATTTATGAGAGCGATGTTGATTAACTGATGGATTTATATAAAAAGTGTCAACACAATAAATGACAATCTCTGCACCTCTCTTTTATCACAGGTTGGATAATATGCACTGGACAGAGCCTCAACAGCTCCTTATGGAAGTAAAAGTATTTCAACATGGATACTTGCTTTACAACTCACACTTCCTTGACCTCTGACATACGTTCCTTTAGATGAAGGTTTTAATGTTGGTGGGGACAGTGTTAAAACCTTTTTTTTTGAGCCGACAGAAACTAAACTAACTTTATGTAGGAATAAAAGGGGACCATGTAAGTTGTAATGCAAGCTTGAATTGGCCAGAGGAACAACCTGTCCTAAAAAGGCCCATCAAGGTAGAGAGAAATGGCAGAAGTCACGATAAGCACTTTGCATACCAGGTTCAGAGCTTCATCGAGACAGACCAACAACTCATTAAAAAAAAAAAAGAAAAAACACATACAAGTACATACAGAGCTCTGCAAAAGTATTCATAACCATTGAGCATTTTAATAGTTGGTAACATAACAACCACAAACTTCACTGTGTTGTACTGAAACAAAAATAAAGCCGCATATTGATGAACTATCAATATGGGTAAAAATGTCGTGCCACTATATTTAAATTAGTTGTTTTTTTTTTCAGTACAGATTTGTAGAATGCAAGAACAATAGTTGTCCTGGGGAGAGACACTTCCACCTGAGCTTTCGATCTCCACAGCTCATCCAGGGTAATCTGGCGTCACTTGACTGCTTCTCTTCAAGTTTTCCCATCATTCACCTTTTCAGGTTAATTTTAGCTTTCAAGGAAGTTTACTCTATCTTAAAATAACTACATCAAATCAAATAATATTGAGATATATGTTGAACCATTTTTTTTGTATATATAACTGAGCAGTTAAAATTAATACATATATTTGTAAGCCATGTCTGATATCCCTTCTTCAAAACTGCACATATAATAGACCTGGGCCATTAACTGAAAATGAACCAACACCAAAATATGTAACAATGACCAACATCATTTAGCCCATTTTTGTATTTAAAAAAGATGAAAAGGACTTTTTTGTCTTTTTTGGCAGATTATGCTCTTGTCCCTTTAAGATGTTGAGCTACATGTAGAGTCTGATATGATTTTAGGCAAAATCTGCCAACCCTAACAAATAATATCTTAATAAATGGAAGATTGAGGTTGTAATGTGACAAAAAATGGGAAAGTTCAAGGAGTGTGGATACTTCTGCAGTGCACTGAACTCAGCTGCCTTCCACCAACCATCCTTCCTCTTTTATCCGTCTTGGAAAAACTCCAATGCGAGTGAGAGGGCGGCAGAGGCATTTAGAAAATGTCAGCTCTTGCCCCTTGGGTTGCAACACATTATGTTCTAGCTGCAAACACATACGCTTCCTGCCATGAAAAAAAAAAAAAAAAAAACACACACAAAAAAACGGGCACAATCTCATCTGCCTTTCTCTTCTTGCAGGAAAAATTAGAGAGTAAAAGAAAAAAAAAGGTCTGAAGCTGGAAACTGCAAAGAGTTTAACGTGACAAATCAAAAAACAAGGAAGAGAAGTGAAACAGTTTGCATCAGGCACTGAAAATAACTGGAAGAAGGTATAAGAGAGCTGGAGGGGAGAAACCTATTGTTGGATCCCTGGTCTGTGCTTGTCCATGGCATGGGCCCATACAAAGTGGGACAACGATATAGGGGGCGAGGGTAGGGGGCTTCATTTGCTTAGCAAAGGCAGAGCTTCAGTAAGGGGTTAGTAAGGGAGGGTCATTCACGGATGGCCAAGGCTTTTAAATGGTTGTTACCTGGAGCTGTTAAAAAACGACAACAAAGAAAACAAAAATCAAACAGAACATTAGAAAAGAACGAAAAAGTACAGCAGCGCAGTGATATTCAACCATTTCTGTTTCAATGACATTCATCCACATCACAAACAATGTTTTTGACTGTACTTATTCCCACATTGCCACATATTTCACTTGTTGTACAAAATGTAAATTAACTAAAGCAACAGAAAAACACAACGCGTACTAGCTGTTAAGGAACTCAAAATGGCAAAAGGAAAAAAAGCCGATATGAACAAGTGAGACACAATATGTGGAAATAAGAGGCGCAGCCGCGGCTGCCCGGATTCTTACAGTTGAGATCCATGTACCAGGCGTCGTCGCCGTACTGGTACTTCCAGATGGTTTGGCCGATGGAGCAGATGAGGGAGATGGCCAGGAGGCAGCCGAAAAGCACGAGGATCTGAAAGTTGGTTATCCGCTCCACATTGGACAGCTTCAGAGGAGGCCGGGTGGAATTCTGACCAACATTTGAGCAGATGGGAAACAAACAAACAAAAAAAATTAATAAAATAATAATAATAATAAAACTGCGGTGTCCCTTCACTACCAAGTGGGAGTAAGAACATTTGGTATATGGGTGTCTTTGTTGCAAAATATCTTCAGAAAATCAAATGCATTGAAGCTAAAACAGTAGTGGCTACTTCAATCCTTTTAACCCTTAAACAGCTACCATATCTTCTACAAATGCATCAATGCACAAGAATATTTCTCTACGGAACAAATGTTGGTCCAAACGAGAAATTCCAAAAAACGATTTTACCTGCATGAGTTTGGTGTCGTGTCCCGTATAGACAACCACTCCATGGATCCACTGTGTGTTCCTCAGCTGGGCTCCTCTCAGTAAGATCTGGTCTGGACCCAGAGGAACGGTGCTGAAGTACAAAGCACCACAACTGTTAGGGTTTTCAAACTTCACCTCCGTTTCCCTCAGAAATCATTCCCCAAACTGATAAAAAAAAAAAGAAATTAGGGCTGAAACAAATAATCGCAAATATTTGTGTCTGCAGGGACCAGTTGCTAATTCTCCCCTCACTTTAAACTTCACATAAACTTAATTTAAATGAATGTGTAATTCATTTAAATTTATGCAGATTTTTTCTCTCCACTTTGATTTTGTCATTGTGTGAGAGCCTGCAGTTAGTTAGAAAGTCAGAATCGGTCGATTCTAACTTTCCTCTCTGATCATGGCAGAGGTGGCTACAGCTGAAAAATCACCAATGTCTTTAAATTATACAAGTGACACCTTTGACAGATGTAGCAGTTTATTAAAGAGAAACACCAGTTTCGAGGGTGGCCACTATTAAAAACTTAATACCTACAGAGAAGCGTTTTATAAAAGTGCAGATTCATTATGTGTTTGACAAACAAAAGCATTGAAGTCTGTGAATTTAACAAAGTTTATTGAGAACTTCCCCTTATTAAAATACAATTTATATGATCAAAGAGAGCAGGAGAAAATTAATCAGACATAAATAAGCTGGCAAAGGCCCTACGATAATAAAGTTATATTTTGGGCAAAAGTGATTTCCTCTCCGCCCCCCTCCTCAAAATCACCTTTACCAAAAATGAACAGCGTGAATGCTGTTAAGAACATAATTTTATTTTGAAAGCAATACTAAAAAGGGTTAGCAATGTTTACTAATACGCGTTTTTACTGCAGACATTTGAAATAATTCCATCACGTCCTAAAAAGACTAAAGAGCTTCAATTTAAAAACATCCAAAAGAAAGTAATATGACTGCAGCTGGAAATTTGTATTTATTCCCCCACACCATAAAAGGCAAGACTTTCTGACAAATGAGCTCCTGAGATGGAAAGTGAGGCAGATAATCTGATATGCAGGGCTGAAACTGAGCTCACCTGTGTCCAACCAGGCGGATGTTTCCAACAAACTCATACAGGTGCCGGTTTGGGCTTTCACATTCCATCCGCCCCGACAGCCGCATCAGGTTGTCAATGTCCTTTATGTCTGCAGTCACTTGGAGACCCTGTAGTTGTGACCAAAACACAACTTTACTTCCTTCTATGCTGTAAACCTATGTGCTGCAACTAAAAACAAATAAAAAAATAGAGACTATACACCAACCTGTCTGATTTTAAGGTTTGTTTCTCCATCCAGATTAGATGTTTCAATGTAGCACATACCCTGTGGTTCACTGTTATGGAAGAAGAGGATACAGAATCTTGGAGCAGAAAAGTAACAGCAATTTGTATTCAGTGAGGTTCTGTATCAGTGTGACTTAAACGTTGATTTGCTTAGAATGTTTCCATATCAAACCGTTAACAGGAAATCAATGAGTAAAAAGCTACAGTAACAGATTAAGAGGCTACAGCAGAGAAACAGCAAGACTAAAGCGCAACAAACAAAGATGTTGAAGCCAGCAAAAACCGCCACCAATGTTTGACTGATGCTGTCTATTTAATATACAGCAAACATCTAGAGGCCAGACAACATTTTTGTTTGGGGCTGCTGTTTCCCCATGAGTTAAACTGTCTTTCCAGAGCAGCAAGAATAAAGTCCAAAAGGAACACAGAGAGGAAACATCAGAGCAGGGTGACAGGAGCAAGCAGGCATACAAAGCACAACAAACAATGCAGACAAATGGGTCTCAGACAGACTCTTGGCAAAGCGACAGCGGGTTAGCGCACGCCTGAGGTTAAATGTCGAGTTGGGTCGCTGGTTAGCAGCCCTGCTAACAGATTAACCTTCTCACACAAAAGACTTGATTTGATAAAAATGAGCAGGAGGATGTTCCAGCGATGACAAAGTGAATTAAAACTGAAGTGAAAAAGCACGAATGCGTTGCAGTAAATTAGCACAACAGAAATCCAAGATGGCTTCCAGATTTCATCTTGAAATGTGACTGCATGCAAGCTGTTCAAATAAAGCTGATACATTCAGGCTGCAATGCAATGCAAGCCATGCAAGGACATGAATACGAAAAATACATATTCACACCCAAAAGAGAGCATGATATAGAGGGAGTCTCTTTTTGAGCACTTGGTAGTGTTAGGTTTAAAGGACATTTCAATATCATAGTAAAAGAGTAAACAGTTAGTGATTTTTTTAAGTAAAATCACAATTTGAAAGTTTTTGAAAGATTTTTTTTGTACAGTGCCTTTTAAAAGTATTCAAACCACATTTTATCAAGTTACAACCACAAAACAAACACAAAGTAGAGCATTATTGTACACCATTTAACAAATAAAGTGTGGAGTGAACTTGCATTTGCCCTCGATGAAGGCAGCTAAAGTTACAAATGTTGGGTTGTTTCACATTATTTTTCCATGAAAAATAGCCGGAGCTCAGTCAAATTGGATGGAGAGCTTCTCTAAAACGCTTTTCACACACTTTCAAAAATGTTCAGTTGCCTTTAGGTCTGGCTGTATCTGCTTTCTCCTAACTAAAGAACATGCTTTGATGCAAACTATTCCACTGTAGCTCTGGCTGAATATCTGCCCTCCAGGATCGTGACCCTCTGCCAATTTCAATTCACCAGCAGACTCTGATAAGTTTTCTTCCAGACATCAACAGAACTTGATTTTTTTTTTTTTTTTTTTTTTTAGCTGCAGATGCATTTTTTGCTACAAGGAATTAAATGTACACTACAGGTATGCTTCTATTGCGTTTTAGGCAATACAATATTTTTTTTTATTTAAAAAAGGAATTTAATTATGTTTATTCACAATTTTTTGTATTTTGAATATTGCATAAAAGTTCAAGTGATCAAATTAAAAACCTGCAGAATGTGTTAAATTATTGGAGTTATACTGAGATTAAATTACACACAGGTGGAAAACTGTATTTATTAGATGACTCCAGAAGGTTCTTCAATTTTGCACTAGATTATAATTGGGAGTATTGGCACTAAACACAAATGCACACCACATATTTCAGATTTTTATTTCCTTCCACAGTTTTGCACTTCTTTGCGTTTGTTTGTGATATAAAATCTCAAATTATATTCGAGGTTTATGGTTGTGATGTAGCAAAATGTGGTATGGAAGACTTTACAAAGGCAGTGCAATCAACTTAACTAACAAGTTTTCGGTGACGGGGAAAAAAAAAAGTCACAGGCCCCTTCCTTCCTGCAGAGTGGAAATAAAGTCTGATCCCAGTTGTAACAAAGCCCCACCCCCATCTCTCCCACCGCTGTTTGAGTTGGTTATATGTTGCTGGTTTGCTGACCTGGACGACAGAATGACGAGGTCAGCCGGGAGATGATCTCCATTTGCAGCTCTGACTACTTCCCCAACAGCCACCTGATATTACCAACCACACACCAGCAGGGGGCGAGACGGAGGCAGTGTGGCAGTAATTTGCACAGGAGGCCAGAAAGGATGAAGGAGAGGATAAAAAAAAAAGAGGAAGGATGGGAGAAGAAAAGAAAACATTGAAGGGGAGAGAGACAACTGGTTCAGTTTTATGGAAGAGCACGATGATCAGTCCTGTGTGATCACAGGTATGCTTCTCCATGTGTTCTCCTTTTCACAAAACCATCTAGAAAAAAAAAATGCTGAACAGTGAAACTGCTTCACCAGAGCAGGATTTTAGCTTTATATATTACAGA